AGCTGATCCCGCTGCTCAATAACTTCCTGATGGCTATTATGAAGTTCTGACAATTCTGATTTTAATTGGGTATTTTTATTTATAATTTTTAAAATTTCATCTTCACTCTCTTCTCTCTCCCTGATCAACTTGTCACTGAGATCTTTGGATGCCTGAAGTTCTTGTAGGGCCACTTTAAGCTTCATCTCTGTCTGCCGTGCAGTTGTGGAACGGGTAGATAGTGACATTATTGAATATATGAATAGTTACTAGGGAGAGTGAAGTGAGTTATTTCTAAAAAAAGTATCACAACGAGAACAGCAACTGAACCTTACTTATTTTATGTGTTAAAATTTAGAATAATTTTTGTTAGGTATATTTATACGACCTATATTTTACAAGATTAAGTAAATGGAATTAGATTGTGCTCCTTTCCTTCAAATTACATTAATATAAAACATAAAATTACTTACAATATATTTTGTGGGTATATTTTTTCCTTCGACGTACGCAACAACTGAACTTCACAATTATTAATATCAATTTAACTTGATGTGAATATTTTCTATAAAACTTGTATATATTATGAAATTCTTTGAATAAGTCCAACAAATAGTTATAAAATAGTTTTAAAATTAGTTGTTTACCAACGAAAGAAGTTTGACAGATGGCCGGTGCACTATTTTAATGTCGATTCTTGCAAATAATACACTACCAAATTGTACACAAACAACAATCGACACTTATTGCACTATTATATCACTAATAACGATGTCGAAAATATAATATTCGTGTGATAGACTATTAAAAATTATTTATTTATTATGGCCAGCTGAAAATGACAACTGTCGTTGGTGTTGCTAGTCGAAGAAAAAAAGTAATTAAACCAAATTAACTTAATGAAACTAATTTAACTTAATCAAACTAAATTAACTTAATCAAACTGATTTAACTTAAACTAATTTAACTTAACCAAACTAAATTAACTTAAACAAACTAATTTAACTTAATCAAACTAATTTAACTTAATCAAACTAATTTAACTAAAACAAACTGATTTAACTTAATCAAACTGATCTATAATAATCAAACTGATTTAAATTAAACTGATTTAAAATAAACTAAATTAACTTAATCAAACTGATTTAACTTGATCAAACTGATTTAACTTAATCAAACAGATTTAACTTAATCAAACTGATTTAATTTAATCAAACTGATTTAACTTAAACAAACTAAATTAACTTAAACAAACTGAACTAAAATAATCAAACTGATTTAAATTAATCAAACTGATTTAACTTAATCAAACTTAAGTTTGTAAAACTAAATTAACTTAATCAAACTGATTTAACTTAAAAAAATTGATACAACATAATAAAACTGCTTTAAAATAATCAAACTGATTTAACTTAATCAAACTGATTTAACTTAATCAAACTGATATAACTTAATCAAACTGATTTAACTTAGTCAAACTAAGTTAACTTAATCAAACTAAATTAACTTAAGCAAACTAAGTTAACTTAATCAAACTTAAGTTAATCAAACTAAATTAACTTAATCAAACTGATTTAAAATAATCAAACTGACTTAAAATAATCAAACTGACTTTAATTAATAAAACTGATTTAACTTAATCAAACTGATTTAATTTAATCAAACTGATTTAAATTAATCAAACTGATTTAAAATAACCAAACTAATCAAACTAAATTAACATAATCAAACTGATTTAAAATAATCAAACTGATTTAACTTAATCAAACTGATTTAAAATAATCAAACTGATTTAAATTAATCAAACTGATTTAAAATAACCAAACTAATCAAACTAAATTAACATAATCAAACTGATTTAAAATAATCAAACTGATTTAACTTAATCAAACTGATTTAAAATAATCAAACTGATTTAAATTAATCAAACTGATTTAAATTAATCAAACTGATTTAAATTAATCAAACTGATTTAAAATAATCAAACTGATTTAAAATAATCAAACTGATTTAACTTAATCAAACTGATTTAAAATAATCAAACTGATTTAACTCAATCAATCTGATTTAACTTAAAAAAACTGATTTAACTTAATCAAACTGATATAACTTAATCAAACTGATTTAACTTAATCAAACTGATTTAACTTAATAAAACGTAAGTTAATCAAACTAAATTAACTTAATCAAACTGATTTAACTTAAAAAAATTGATATAACTTAATCAAACTGATTTAACTTAATCAAACTGATTTAACTTAATCAAACTGATTTAACTTAATAAAACGTAAGTTAATCAAACTAAATTAACTTAATCAAACTGATTTAACTTAAAAAAATTGATATAACTTAATCAAACTGATTTAACTTAATCAAACTGATTTAATTTAATCAAACTAGTTTAACTTAATCAAACTAAATTAACATAATCAAATTGATTTAACTTAATCAAACTAAATTAACTTAATCAAACTGATTTAAAATAATCAAACTGACTTAAAATAATCAAACTGACTTTAATTAATAAAACTGATTTAACTTAATCAAACTGATTTAATTTAATCAAACTGATTTAAATTAATCAAACTGATTTAAAATAATCAAACTGATTTAACTTAATCAAACTGATTTAAAATAATCAAACTGATTTAAAATAATCAAACTGATTTAACTTAATCAAACTGATTTAAAATAATCAAACTGATTTAACTTAATCAAACTGATTTAAAATAATCAAACTGATTTAAATTAATCAAACTGATTTAAAATAATCAAACTGATTTAACTTAATCAAACTGATTTAAAATAATCAAACTGATTTAACTTAATCAAACTGATTTAAAATAATCAAACTGACTTAAAATAATCAAACTGATTTAAATTAAACAAACTGATTTAAAATAATCAAACTGATTTAACTTAATCAAACTGATTTAAAATAATCAAACTGACTTAAATAATCAAACTGATTTAACTTAATCAAACTGATTTAAAATAATCAAACTGACTTAAAATAATCAAACTGATTTAAATTAAACAAACTGATTTAAAATAATCAAACTGATTTAACTTAATCAAACTGATTCAATTTAATCAAACTGATTTAAATTAATCAAACTCAGTTAATCAAACTGATTTAACTCAATCAATCTGATTTAACTTAAAAAAACTGATTTAACTTAATCAAACTGATATAACTTAATCAAACTGATTTAACTTAATCAAACTGATTTAACTTAATAAAACGTAAGTTAATCAAACTAAATTAACTTAATCAAACTGATTTAACTTAAAAAAATTGATATAACTTAATCAAACTGATTTAACTTAATCAAACTGATTTAATTTAATCAAACTAGTTTAACTTAATCAAACTAAATTAACATAATCAAATTGATTTAACTTAATCAAACTAAATTAACTTAATCAAACTGATTTAAAATAATCAAACTGACTTAAAATAATCAAACTGACTTTAATTAATAAAACTGATTTAACTTAATCAAACTGATTTAATTTAATCAAACTGATTTAAATTAATCAAACTGATTTAAAATAATCAAACTGATTTAAAATAATCAAACTGATTTAACTTAATCAAACTGATTTAAAATAATCAAACTGATTTAACTTAATCAAACTGATTTAAAATAATCAAACTGATTTAAATTAATCAAACTGATTTAAAATAATCAAACTGATTTAACTTAATCAAACTGATTTAAAATAATCAAACTGATTTAACTTAATCAAACTGATTTAAAATAATCAAACTGACTTAAAATAATCAAACTGATTTAAATTAAACAAACTGATTTAAAATAATCAAACTGATTTAACTTAATCAAACTGATTCAATTTAATCAAACTGATTTAAATTAATCAAACTCAGTTAATCAAACTGATTTAACTCAATCAATCTGATTTAACTTAAAAAAACTGATTTAACTTAATAAAACGTAAGTTAATCAAACTAAATTAACTTAATCAAACTGATTTAACTTAAAAAAATTGATATAACTTAATCAAACTGATTTAACTTAATCAAACTGATTTAATTTAATCAAACTAGTTTAACTTAATCAAACTAAATTAACATAATCAAATTGATTTAACTTAATCAAACTAAATTAACTTAATCAAACTGATTTAAAATAATCAAACTGACTTAAAATAATCAAACTGACTTTAATTAATAAAACTGATTTAACTTAATCAAACTGATTTAATTTAATCAAACTGATTTAAATTAATCAAACTGATTTAAAATAACCAAACTGATCAAACTAAATTAACATAATCAAACTGATTTAAAATAATCAAACTGATTTAACTTAATCAAACTGATTTAAAATAATCAAACTGATTCAATTTAATCAAACTGATTTAAATTAATCAAACTGATTTAAAATAATCAAACTGATTTAAAATAATCAAACTGATTTAACTTAATCAAACTGATTTAAATTAATCAAACTGATTTAACTTAATCAAACTGATTTAAAATAATCAAACTGATTCAATTTAATCAAACTGATTTAAAATAATCAAACTGATTTAAAATAATCAAACTGATTTAAATTAATCAAACTGATTTAAATTAATCAAACTGATTTAAAATAATCAAACTGACTTAAATAATCAAACTGATTTAAATTAATCAAACTGATTTAAAATAATCAAACTGATATAACTTAATCAAACTGATTTAACTTAATCAAACTGATTTAACTTAATCAAACGTAAGTTAATAAAAACTAAATTAACTTAATCAAACTGATTTAACTTAAAAAAATTGATATAACTTAATCAAACTGATTTAACTTAATCAAACTGATTTAATTTAATCAAACTAGTTTAACTTAATCAAACTAAATTAACATAATCAAATTGATTTAACTTAATCAAACTGATTTAACTTAATCAAACTGATATAAGTTAATCAAACTGATTTAAATTAATCAAACTAAATTGACTTAATCAAACTAAATTAAATTATGATTATGTGGACTTTGTTTCAGCAAGACACATTCCCTATAGGGTTCTACATAGTGTTCATAGTGAAGACGTCGGATGATGATTGTTCAGAGCGAAACACCGGCAACCAGACGTTGCCCACGATGGCGCACTACTTCGGCTGGACCGAGGACGGCGTCGTCCAGGTGGAGACCAACGACGGCCGGGTCAAGAGGTTCAGGTAATTGGTAGACGTGACATAATATCCGTGATTATTGTTACTGTTACGCAATAATAACAGGCTTTAGAAATGTTTTATGAGAGACACTGCTGCCCATCCCTCGCCCTCTTTACTCGTCTCTTACGACACCCACGGGGAAGGAAGGGGTGGCCTATTCTATGCCGGGACTACACAGACTTTTTTTTTTTTTAATATTTATTAATCTCATAATTCCGACATTTATAAACGGATTTGGAAGTTTTTTTTATCAGAAAATTTTTTCAGAATCGTTTCAATAATTTCTTTTTCATACATTTATATCATACCTACTATAATTTAAGATTTATTTTTTCACAAAAAAAAAAACATATACCAACTTCTAACTTAGTTATATTAGTTATATTTATTTAAAAACTAAATTACTGAATCCTTTTTGATAAAATTTCTATGGGTCCAATCTATAAGTATGTTCTTTCATAAAAAACATAAAAAAAATATACAACCGATTTGAGGACTTCCTTCTTTGAAATCAGTTGCAACAAAAAAATGCACGTGTACTGGAAACTTATTTTTTTTAAAGTCTCTTAAAAAATAACCTAAATTTTGAATTCGTTAATTTCAGTTTTAAAATCATCGAGACGATATCGTATCAAGAGTACGCGATCGCTGCGGGCGCGGCGCTCGGCTTCTTCCTCTCCTTCTACGTGGCGTTCGTCATAGTGCTGCTGTGCCAGAGGAGGAAGATGATGGCCAGCACCGAGTCGGACACGAGCCAGAGCGAAGGTGAGGCATTTCATTACCCACTAGCATTTTGCCAGCTACCTCTTATACGTGTAGTGTCAAGATAAAATACACCAAATTTATTTAACCTTCAGGAATCGTCAGCCTTTAACTGTCCACTGCTGAGTACAAGCTTCCCTCTAGTGGGGGTTTTGCCAGTAGTTGCCACGGGGGGGGGGGGGGTATTGTTAGCAATGGAGTTTGACCCATTGCTAGTAATATTTAATGTAAGAACAGTTAGATCTAATCCACAAGTGTGTTGTATTTAAATGTTTAGCTATATCTTATGTTGGTAATCCTATAAATAAATATGCCCTATTAGGTCGACCTCCACATGGGTCTCCCTTGAAACCATCATTAACAATTATTGTTGAATTCATCACGATGGACTGCTTCATGCTCACCTATCATCATTTACTGGTGCCCCACCGGTGTATACCAATAGCGCGGGTTACCATTCCATTACCATTAAAAAAAAAATAGTTGCCACGATTGGCAGGCGGATTGGCAACCGCAGTTAGGCTTTGTAAATATCTTAAGAGGGACGCTACTGCCCATCCCTCGCCCTCCCTTAGTCGTCTTTTATGACGCCCACGGGAAACGAATGGGTGGTCATTTAGTTAATTATATAAACGTATTTAAAATTGCATTGTCCTGACTGTTTGTTTTTAATGAATAAATAAATTAATTAATTATTCTCTCGTACAGAAGGCCGGCTCACGCCGCCGTCGACGCCCCACGATGCGGTCAACGTGACGGGAGCGCGGCGACGTCGCGTGCACGTGATCTGTGGGAACGCTATGTCCAGCAGTGGGGAGACGTCCTCGCAACGGTGCCTGGTCGGTGAAGGGGACGCCGCGATAGGTACGTTTGTTTAATTATCTGTATTTTTTTTTTTATACAACTTATAATGGCAAACAAGCTGACGGCCCACCTGATGGAAAGTGGTAACCGTCGCCTATAGACATGAGCAGTGCCATGGACATAACAGAGTATACTGTTTCGCCCATGATACCGCCCATGCGTTGCCATTCCTGAGGACTCGGGTGTTATTCCTCTGTACCCTGTAAATTCACGCCATATCCCACCCTTCATACCGGAATACAGCCATGCAAACATAACTGCTTTACGGTTGAAACACGAATGGGACAGAGGTACCCAAGCAATCGACTTTTGTACATAGTCGCCCTCTGGTAAATGATATTAGGTTATAAAGAAAATAATAAGGTTATACTAGACTCCCCCATTGGGGGACGATTGGGTTTGCCACTAGTTGTCACGCTTGGCAGACGAGTTGGCAACCGCAGTAACACTTTAAGAGGGACGCTGCTGCCCATTCCTCGACCATTAAGTTTATTTAGTTGCTTCATACGACGCCCACGCAAAAGGAAAGGATTGGCCCATTCTATGCTGGGACCGCACGGCCAATATTTATCATTTCAGCCGTTAGCTGTCCAAGCTGAACATAAGCTTTTCCCATAAAGTGAGTTTTACCATTACTTGCCACGTTTGGCAGGCGGGATGGAAACCGGATACAGTTATTTTTTAATTTTTGTATTAAATAAATAAACATTTTTTTTTAATTCTGTTGAAAATGCATTGATTTCAGAACGCAGCTCGTCGTCCGATACAGAGTCTGATTTCTCGACGATGGACGACGCTAACACCGACAAGGACGTGTACCTATTGGGCGGGAAGCTGTGCGTGGCCAATTTAGCCAGGTACGCACTTTAACAAGTTACCAAATAATAAATGGTCATTAACAATCAATTATTGGATATCTCCACGCGATTCCCCCTGGATACCATCGTGGTTGATCTTTGAGTTGGTAACAAGGGGTCAAAAATTTTTTTATACCACTGAGGTGGCAAACAAGCATACGGCCCATCTGCCGTAGCCTATGAACACCTGCAATACCAGAGGTATTACGCGAGCGTTGCCGACCCTGAAGAAACCTCTTTACCCCCCTTTTGAAGAACCCCATGCTGTAGTCTCATTTTGCTTTCTTCATCAGATTTGCTTTCATTCTCACCTTCACCTCTCACTGATGCTCCGCCAGCGTACACCGTTAGCGCAGACGGGGTATAGTCTGTTATGTGCTGCATATGGTGCTGTATTATGGTACTGCTCATGTGTATAGGCGACGGTTACCACTTTCTATCAGGTGGGCCGTCAGCTTGTTTGCCATTCTAAGTTGTATAAAAAAAAAATATCTACTTTCTCTACGGTTACGATATATCCACGATTGTCGTGCCTCGTGCTGGGAGGTTTTTTTTTATTGATGGATGAAAATGGTATGGTAATCCCGCCTGCGCTGACGGGATACGCTGGCGGAGCACCAGTGAAGGATGATAGATGAGAATGGAAACAGGCCAGTTAGCCTATCATGATGAATTCATCAGGAATTAACCATGATAGTTTCCAGGGGGAACCGCGTGGAGGTCGACCTGGTTGGGTATATGGTAGCAATAGGATTCTCAGTCTCCATTACTAACAATCCCTTTCCCCGCCGTGCTGGGAGGTTGTCGAGCCCCGTGATGTTGTATTGCACGTGCATTCCCCAGATGTCGGCCGCGCGTGCTGTCGGCGCGCTCCAAGATGTACCTGTGGAACGTGCTCACGGTGGCCGTGTTCTACACGCTGCCCGTCATACAGCTGGTCGTCACCTACCAGAGGGTATACAGAGATTGCTTCTCGTATCTTTCTAATATAATCAAATTGAAAAAAATGCAAAAATCAGACGTATTGGAACCTCATTTCGAAGTGTTCCGACCACAGGACACCTCTGTCCCATTCGTGTTTCAACTGTGAAGCAGTTGTGTTTGCATGGCTGTATTTCGGTGTGAAGGGTGAGATATGGCAGTGAATTTACTGGGTACAGAGGAATAACGCCTGAGCCCTTAGCAATGGCATGGGAGTATCATGCGCGAAACAGTATACTCTGTTATGTCCATGGTACTGCTCATGTCTATAGGCGACGGTTACCACTTTCCAACAGGTGGGCCGTCAGCTTGTTTGCCATTCTAAGTTACATACAGAAAAATGCATAATTTGCTGGCGAACAGTGTGGTAAAAATATTTTCATCGATTGCAGTTACTCAACCAATCCGGCAACCAAGACCTGTGCTACTTCAACTTTTTGTGCGCTCACCCGCTAATGGTGCTGTCAGATTTCAACCACGTGTACTCGAATCTGGGTTACGTGCTGCTCGGGCTGTTGTTTCTGCTGTTGGTGTGGCGGCGCCATAATAAACACAAAGCGAAGTCTGCTGTTGAGGTGAGCATATTTTTTCACTGAATAATTTACAAATAACTCATCACTCGTCTACATACTTTAGCGAATACTTTATCGTATATACTGCCCTTCTCATGCCTGTATATATATATTTATTTATATAAAGTGGTAATAAAATAATAATAAAGAAATGACTATTCCGTTTGTAGAAAGAGCTGGGTATCCCGCAGCACTTCGGTCTGCTGTACGCGATGGGGGTGGCGCTGGTGAGCGAGGGTCTGCTGTCGGCCGCCTACCACGTCTGCCCCAACAGCATGAACTTCCAGTTTGGTGAGACGTCAAGTCCCTAATTACAACTTTTTTAAAAAGGATCCAGTAGTATGTGGCCGTAGGAGGAAAAACAACGTTTGCTAGCAGCTGACCAAATCAAACGTTGTTTCACCACTTGTCATGTCTTTTTTTTACACTGGCAATCCTCGATAACAACCATCCACAGACTTCTTTAATTCATTAAAAATATTTAGAAAAAAAAAATTAATCGGTCCAGCTGTTCTTTTTTTTTTATACAACTTAGTATGGCAAACAAGCTGACGGTCCACCTGATGGAAAGTGGTAAGGTGATATTTTTTATTATACAGATAATAATTGTGTGTGTGTGTGTGTATGTGTGTGTGCGTGCAGACACATCGTTCATGTACGTGACGTCGGTGCTGTGCATGGTGAAGATCTACCAGGCGCGCCACCCGGACATCAATGCGCGGGCGCACGCCACCTTCGGCGTGCTGGCGCTCATTATATTCATTGGTGAGTTGATACTCGTAATAATAATGGTGGGATACAGCAAATAAATAGCACAAATGCTTACTTACTTTAGTCCTCAGGAATGGCCACGCATGAGGGGTGTCATGGGTGACACAGTATACTGTGTTATATCCGTGGTGCTAGTCATGTCTATAGGCGATGGTTACTATTTCCATCAGATGGGTCGTCAACTTATTTTTCATTCTAAATTGCATAAAAAAAGGGCTGGAAATATGACACCGCCATCTAGTCTCGAACTAAGCAGAGGACTGGACAGCAGCCTAACAGTCCCATTGCTAGTTTTTTTAATGGGTGATAATGGAATGGTAACCCCACCCGCGCTATCGGTATACACCGGCGGGGCACCAGTGAAGGATGATAGGTGAGGATGAAGCAGGTCAGTTAGCCCATCGTGACGAATTCAACAAGAATTGTTCATTGTTCACGATGGTTTCCAGGGGGAACCACGTGGAGGTTAACCTGATAGGGCATATTGCAAGCAATGGGGCTGTCAAACTCCACCGCTAACAATCCCTTTCCCCCCCGCCCCATTGCTAGTAATATGCCCTATCAGATCGACCTCCACGCGATTCCCCCTGGAAACCATCGTGGTTAATTCTTTTCTAATTCTTCACTATGGGCTGATCCATTTTCATCTTCACCTATCATCTGTCACTGGTGCCCCGTCGGCGTATACGGATAGCCCGGATGGGGTTACCATTCCATTTTCATCCATTAAAAAAAAACTACTCACATGACGGCCGCTCATGACTAAGAGTCCCGGATGGTCCCGAAAGAGGTCGAACTTTCTTAACTAAAATAAATAACTTACGTGTTTTTTTTTATACAACTTAGTTGTATAAAAACTAACTTTTTTTTTATAGCAAACAAGCTGACGGCCCACCTGATGGAAAGTGGTAACCGTCGCCTATAGACACGAGCAGTACCATGGACATAACAGAGTATACTGTTTCGCCCATGATACCTCCCATGCGTTGCCATTCCTATTCATACTTGTATTATATAATTACTGTATTTAAATAAAAGCCGGTGTGTGGATATACCACAATTGTACTTACAAAGGTAAATATCCTAAATCGAGCATGCAAAGCCGCGAGATACAGCCTAGTGCAATGGTTCCAGGTCTGGTGGGCGTGCTGAACGCGAACTTTTACTTCTGGATCGCGTTCACAGTGCTTCACCTGGTCACCTGCCTCTTCATGACCTTCCAGATATATTATCTCGGCCGATTCAAATGGGGTAAGCTCAGATTGACATATATACAAATGTAGTTCTAAAAATCATGGCCGAATTATACCAAATTCATTCCATTAAAAAAAAAAAAAGGTTCCACAAAAAACCGACTTCAATTGTGGCAAGACCAGTTTTTAGATTTGAAAACTAAACTACTCGACCGATCTTGATAAAATTTCTACAGAACTAATCTGTAAGTATATACTTTCAGATAAAAAAGGAATTTTTCAAATCGATTCATAACTGACAGAGTTATGAGGTGATAAACATAAAAACAAAATAAACACAATGGAAACCTCTTTTTGAAGTCGTTTGAAAAGGAGGAGGTCCCAATTTGTGTCCGATTTTTTTGTGACAAGATACGTCGCCAATTCTGAATTCATTTTTACAATGTTTTTGTCTCAATAGATTTTGTTCACATCTGTTTTGATCCCATTTTACTATTGTGACTGCTGAAGCTGCTGTTTTTTTTTTGCTGAGCAAATATTTTGCTTTTTAAAAATCTATGTTTTAAAGATATCTATCTTTAAAACATAGGAGTATCTATCTAGATAGATACTCTTTATTGTTTCCTCCAAAAGATTACAATAGTAAACTTATTATAAATATAAACAATTACAAGAAATAATCACAGTGAGATAACAATCGGCGACCTTATCGCTAAGAGCGATCTCTTCCAGGCTACCTTTGTATGGAGAGGAGTAATTATAAACAATTTGAAATTAAATTAATTAATTAAATAAAATTATCGATTCTATAATTTAATTGGTCATGTTTTAGATTATATAGACAGAGTGTCTCCACACAAATATATATATAAAAAATATAATATATATATATATATATATATATATATATATATATATATATATATATATATATATATATATATATATATATATATATATATATATATATATATATATATATATATAATCATTCAGTAGGTCTGATTAAAGTCAACAAATCCACTTATGTCAAATACAAAAGGTTGTAAGTGTTTGTATTTGTGTACAGAGGGCGGTTTAGTATGCCGCGCCGTGCGGCAGGTGGCGGCGCGTCCCCTTGCGGCCATCACGCCAACTCACTGCGGCCGCGGGGTGCTGCTGCTGCTCGCTAACCTCGCTAACTGGGCCATCGCTGCATACGGGTTAGCTGTTTCCTTCACCATCATCATCACATCAGCTGTTACTTGTCCACTGCTGAACATAGGCTACCCCATAGTCTGCCATAAGTAATAGTCCCGAGCCACCTGCGTTCACAGACTCCCTGCAATGCATTTGAGGTCGTCACTCCATCTAGTGGGGATCCGTCCGGAATCGCCACGCAAGAACCTTTCTTCCCCATCGGTTGTCGGTTCTTCGAGCTTTGTGGCCAGCCTATTGCCATCTCACTTTGTCCCTAATTAGGTCGAGAAAGCTCGACTAGTTTCGCGACCACTCGGGATCCATAATCTTCAGCGACTTTTTTTATGGATGATAATGGAATGGTAACCCCGCCTGCGCGGGGGGAAAGGAATTGTTAGTAATGGAGACTGAGAATCCCATTGCTAACAATATACCCAACCAGGTCGACCTCTTCGCGGTTCTCCCTGGAAACTATCGTGGTTAATCCCTATGGGCTAACTGGCCTGTTTCCATTCTCATCTATCACCCTTCACTGGTGCTCTGCCAGCGTATCCCGTTAGCGCAGGCGGGGTTACCATACCATTTTCACCCATCAAAAAAAAATCCCGCCTGCGTTATCGGTATACACTGGCGAAGCACCAGTGAGAGATGATTGGTGGGAATGAAAAGGCAGGTCAGTTTTTCGTGGCGAATACACCTGGAATCCAGCACGATGCTTTCCAGATCACCACGTGAAGGTCTACCTGACTGATTGCTAGCAACGGGTAGTCCGCATTACTAACAAATCCCTCCCCCCCTCTCCCAGATAAAGCTTTTAATGAAATAATCGTGTGTATGCAGCGTGGCGCAGCACAGCCGCGACTTCGCGTCGCACCTGCTGCTGGTGCTGATGAGCAACCTGTTCCTGTACACGCTGTTCTACATCGTGATGAAGCTGCTGCACAGGGAGTCCATACGCTGGTACAGGTAATGCGACCATGTTTATTTATATATATAATTAAATCTTCACTAATTGTATGATTGCTACTTTAGTATATATCAACCTTTCCCAAAGTGGGCGATAACGCCCCCCTTGTGGGCGGTGTAGGCCTAAAGGGAAACGGTAAGAGAAAGAGTAAACCAGAAAAAAAATGGGGGCGTTGTCTAGAGGCTTGGGGGGTGATTTGTTGATCTTGAAGTAATAGTAGGTTTTTAAGTAGGTGAAAAAATGGGGACGCTAAAAAATAATAATTTCTTCTCAAAATGGGCAAAATAAGTTTGGGAACCCCTGGTATACATTAATATTTATCTGTAAGAGCTGTATACGCCTCTAATTGATATGTTCATCTGCCTTAAGTTTAAGAAGAAAAAAAGAATGAATGAATGAGTATACTTGCATTATACAATATAGGGAATAAACAAGACAATTAATTTATATATATTAATTATAATTAATTAATTATAATTAATTTATACTTATATAGCGATGCAGTTGTATAAGTACAGTAAGGCGGTCTTATTGCTGAGAGCAATCTTTTCTTCTTTAAAGAATCTTTAAAGACAACCTTAGGGTAACGGACTAATTGTTGTACAAGTAGGTATTGTATAATTAAAAAAATTAAAATAAAACATTAAGGAAAATAATTATAAATATTAAGTATATATAAGTATATATAGTCAAATAAATCTTTACTATCAATAAATATAGCCTATGTTACTCGGGGTGAACGTAGCTTTCTAATGGTGAAAGAATTTTTGAAATCGGCAAAGCAGTTTTTGAGTTTATTCTTTACAAACATATATACACACAAAAATACAAATCCTTCCTATTTATAATATTAGTGTAGATGTAGATTTTATTGTATGACTGTAAAAAATTAATGTTATGTAGCTAATTGTATTGTATGCTTGATGTATGGGTAGGCTGTGTTTTCCTTTGAGAAGCCAATAGAAATTACGAATCGCTCACAATAAATATTTTTTCTATTCTAATAAAATGTTAATATAATTTCAGCTGGGTGTTCATAGCTATCACATATACGGTGTGGTTCGGCTCGAGCTACTTCTACTTGGACCAGAGTACTAATTGGGCGGTAAGTGCCCTCTTTTTATACAACTTAGAGTGGCAAACAAACTGACGGCCCACCTAATGGAAAGTGGTAACCGTCGCCCATAGACATGAGCAGTACCGTGGACATAACAGAGTATACTGTTTCGCCCATGATACCCCTCCTGCATTGCCATTCCTGAGGACTCAGGTGTTATTCCTCTGTACCCTGTAAATTCACTGCCATATCCCACCTTTAAACCGAAACACAGCAATGCAAACAACTGCTTCACGGTTGAAACACGAATGGAACAGAGGTACACAAGCAAACGACTTTTGTACAAAGTCTTCCTCTGGTAAAGCCTTTATAGGATTGTTAATTTATCAACTATATCATGCCAATATACATAAAATCATTACTAATAATATGTACACATATTTACTGTATTATTATTTAATTTGTGCAGAATAAAAACGAGCCAAATATACATTTTATCAACATTCAAGCAAAATAATTTAACTTCAATAAATAGACAAATAAACTATTTCTTACACATTAATTTTATATATTACAGTTAACTCCAGCTCAATCGAGACGCAACAACCGCGTCTGCTCCCTGTTACAACTGTACGACTCGCACGATATCTGGCATTTCCTCTCTTCAGCAGCTATGTTTTTCTCTTTCAATATGTACCTTACCATAGACGATAACTTAGCCAACGTGCCTAGAGATGAAATTATGGTATTTTAAACTTTGATTGTTAATTATTCAGTATTGAAACATTAATACTGGCTTCAAAGACTCAAAAGATGTGGACCTAAAATTGGGCCCTGAGGTACCCCAATTTTTCGTTCATATAGACATCTTGTTTCATTTAATAGGCTTAAAAATCAGTCCATGATAATGTGATCTAAATAATAAAAAGCGATAGAAATATTATGTATTGGTAATTCTTCACAATATTATGAATATTACGTACACAGAAATGCACTTTCTCTTATGATTTTTATATGATATTATTTATTATAGACAATGACTATTATAATGGTTTCTATTTTGTTTTATATTTTTAATTAATTTAAATAAAAAAAATACAAATATATATAATATAAATTAAAAGGTATAGTCTAATGTATAAGATCTAATATAATTGATAAGGTGGGCAACCAAAAACAAATGGACCTAAAATAGAACCTTGATGGACTCATTTTAATTAATATTCCAGCAAACAGAAAGCTGCTTGTAATTAAATTCGTGATTATAATTTGTAACTGTATGTATTTTAAATACATTATTAACACTAGTTTTACTATGTGTATATATGTAATGACATAACAGCTTATACAGTAAAATGCCTTTTAAAAATCAGAAGCTACAAACAAAAATCTTTCAATTTATATTATACCAAAAACAATTGTACTCTTTCAAAATTTGTATTTAAATACTTGCTCAAAACAATTTACTATACTCATTACTGCCTTTATTAATTTTTAGTCTTTAGTTATCTCAAAATAGAGTAATTATATGTAAAACTTATTCTTAGCCTTTCACTATATATTTATCTATATATCTATATTTGGCAAGAATGTTTTCGTTAAATTACTATCATACTTCAAAGAAAGTATCCAGCCAAAGATTGGTCTAAGCTTACTCGAGAGTTTTGATTATGTTTATAAATTATAAATGTTGAGAGTGCAACAATGTTCTTAGAAATTTTTATTTAGTTTTGTCAACTGCGATACCTTGTGTCCAAGGTCAATTTTGTTTTACGTAAGACATTTGTAGTATTTCGAATTTATTATAAATTAAGTGTTTTTTGTGTGATTTCATACAGCAAATGGTATCTTATGTGACCTATTGTTTATTTAACGTGCAATTGTTTATTTGTTCTCCAATTATTTGTGGTATATTCTTGCAAAAAAATGTGTTTTACGAGAAATAATGCTACCCTTGTACGTTACGTTAATTTTCTATATTTTGTGTACAATTCGACAAAAAAGATGAATTGATTATTGAATGTTGTAATCGGTACCTTCGTTATCATTTACTGTTTGCCGCTAAATATGTACCCCCTTATTTATAAAAACGTCAAGCGTCTCAAACTTATTGAAGTGTTTTATCTTTTTCCATTGCACTAAGTTCTTAACTTGAAAGAAAATGACAACTACTGTAATAGTTTAGCTGTATAGGTTTGTTTATTAGGTAGGTTTTTTTTTTTATAAATAAATGGTTATATTTTTTAATATGCAATTAAAATTAATGAAAAAATAAAAATCTTAGATAGGTAATTGTTTTAAATTTGTATAAGCTAATAATTATAGTAATGTCAAAGAAAAAGATTGTCCCGTTTTTGGATTCGAATTTGAGCTTTGACTCGAAGATGATGTAAGAAATGAATTAGTGATCTCAGGTGGTAAACGAATAATAAGCTTTATATGCACATTATTAAAATCTATTATTAATGTTAAAGCTAATAGAATTGGCGAGGATATGTACATAGAAAATGCTTTTAGTAAATCACGAGGTGCTATTATAAAATTTTACGAATTTCACCACTTCTGCGAATTTATTCCCTAATAACTAGGTTATTTTTTTTTTATTATTATCAATTTCAGTTATACATGACTCAGTTATATAAAACTGATCTTTATTCACAAAAGAAAATCAATAATTTACTATTTTACAATTTAGTATAATATTAATATTTTAGATGTAAGTTTTTTTTCGAATTAATTATAACTTTACAACTCTCTCTCCTATGCCTGACATTATATAAAATAAAATGTTTTTAGATATCTGTAAATTTTTATCGTATTCTGATTTAAATGCACCATTATCTTAGTCTGATTAATATGTTGTCATATTTATTTCTCAGTTATTATTTTAATGTTTTATATGTAAAAGCATATTACATTCCTTCATAATTTCTACTACTGCCTATCTAATAAAAGGTGTCGCTCCGGACGGGGAACTCCCAGTTTGGATTTTTCACAAGTCCTGGGGCCGAGCTGAGTGTGGGTCGTGGCGTGTTTGGACGGTAAAAGTAACTTATTTACACTATATACACGGAAGAGGGTATCGCAGTACACACAAACACGGTTACTGACGATACCGCAGCGGAGTCCGAACTTGACGCCGGGTATGAGCGCGTGCGCATGGCAAGCCGCAGGCCGGACGACAGACTGTCTGTGCGCGGCGGTATCGACGCGGGGGACACGGTGACTAGGGATGGTGTCAACCTCGACTATTATAAAATGTAGCTTTATTGAACCATTATGCCGCGAGTTTGTCCTTCTCTCACAGCTTAATATTTCAACAACTACAGTTTTAGATACTGTTCACACTGCCATAGTGTAAAAGAAGAACTGAAAGGAACTCATGGTGCGACTACAAATCGCTCTTGATCTTTCTTCTAATATAATGGTGCATTAAAATCATCTGCATTATATTTATTTAATATATATATATATATATATATATATATATATATATATATATATATATATATATATATATATATATATATATAATATATATATATATATATATATATATATATATATATATATATATAACGATTGTGTTGTATGGATTGCAATTACACTAGTCTATGTAAATAAAAGTGCTTTTTGTAATGAGTGTTTTATTGGTATGACCCCGTCCCATTACCATTTCATTTATTTACTAAGGCAAACCAACAGCGTACATATTAACATATTCAATGATGACAAGTTAAAGTATAATAAAATACATGCGTAGGTTACAGGTAAGCACAACATTGGGCGTTGTTTACATAGAAAATTTAATAATAATTAATTTATAAAAGTTTTGTGTTTTTGTACAGCAATTGTTCTTTCCCCATATTCTAATATTGAAAAGTGTATGTGTCAGGCCCTCTAGACAAGTAGCAAGCGAATTTATCTATGTAATCGACATCGCTAGCGAGTTTTGCTACATTGTTCCACGGAAATTACATTCTCATTCTTTCTCTCTCTCTCTCTTACTCCATTCCCTCGTAGACGAGGAACTAAATAAAACATGAAACGTTCTCCATAATACTTTTATTGTGTACATTTTGTCAGCTACACTACATAAAAAAACAGAATTTGTTAATGTACATTACAGAAGTTTTAAATACGGCACATAGCTCTCTAGTGGAGATGCTTAAAGCTCAGATTCAATGTCCCGGCACTCGGCCACGCTTGGGTCGCAACAGTGGGCACGTTCTTTACAAAAGAAATTATTACGATATTTAAATTGGTAAATATTGACACAACAAAATATTTGTTGCCTTCGATACTTCAGGCGGCAACCACAAGTTGCCACGTTACAATAATAAAATAAACTACACAATATTATAGTATTTTCACCAAAGAATAGCGCCGTTCTTGTCAAATAAAAATAGCACGTATCCAATAGTAGACAGATCACTTTTTACTTTGCCGGTACGGTAACCGATGGGGTAGTAAAGTGACCTAATATAAAATAATTTCTGTTTTAAATTAACAATTTATGTAACCAATATTACACACGACTTTTAAGACAATACAATACATTGTCTACGATAACATGCAACCCTCCAAAATGCAAAGAAAAAATGTGGACGTAAACATATTTACAAGGTTTCGACCAAGAAATATATTTCTCTGGGCGGACCCTCTACTGAAGACGTCTCACAAACACAAACAGAGCACCACGTCTGTATATAGTCACACACATTGAATGAAAAAGTTCAAATGGCGTGCCATGTTAAGGTAGACAATCTATACATACACACACAATGGAGATCTGTCCAGTATTTATAAAAAAAAAAATCCGACACAAAATACAATCTCTGATACAAGGTCATGTCAGTGATCACATCTTCGCTCTGTCATGGAATTAAAGAAAGAACACCGTATATCAATTTAAGTAAAACGTTTAACGCGAAATATACATGAATCCCTCAAAACGACGATTTTAAAACACAATTTCTTCAATCATGGATTAGATTCACAATTTATTACCTATTGTTTCTATATAAAACAAAACGTGGACACCAAATTCAGTCCAGTCCCGGAACCAATGTTACAATTAATTTACATTAATATTTATAATTACAATATTTGGGTAAGATATTCAGCACGAGTGGGTTCTTATAATGTAAACAGGAAGTACGGTACAGTGGAGTTTGGATACCGTTAGCAAATTTACAGTCTCAGTGGCGGAAGGAACCGAATAAACGGTTTCAACTCAAGATACTCATAGACCTACTTTAGCTATTACTATTTTGTCTCTCTCATGCTATATTCTTAATTTAAATGAAGGTAACAAAAAAGTGTAAAAAGTTAGAGTAGGCTTTTAGGTTTTAGTTTAGAATAAGGGGGTTAGTATTTGTACGTGTAATTTTAAAAAAATATTTCAAATATTTATTATTGTTTTTAATGGAAAATAAATTACAATAAACCAATTTATTCGGTTCTAGAAGTTCATAGGTAGACAAACGCTTTTCAAATATTTTTAATTTACAGAAGGAGAAAAAAATACTCAGGTTGACAAAATTAAATCGAGACTCGATCGAGATCGTGCATGCACGATTTTTAGTGATGGCAATTTTTTAAATAGTCAAAACAAACTCTAATTGCAGATTCATCATCATCATCATCATCATATCATCCTTTAACTGTCCACTGCTGAACATTAGCCTCCCCCTCGGAAAGTTTTGCCAGTAGTGACCACACTTGGCTGGCGGATTGGCAACAGCAGTTAGGCTTTAGAGATGTTTTTAGAGGGACGCTGCTGCTCATCCCTCGCCCTCCCTTAGTGGCCTCTTACGACACCCACGGGAAAGGTGTGACCTATTCTATGCCGGGACCACACGGGTATATTGTGATAATAAATTTAAGAGCGTAATTTGAAAAGCGTTCATCAATTTAACATGGAAATTCTTAATAGATTTATCAAGATTATTATTAGCATTTTAGATTTGAAGATTCAATTCAATTCATGATTACTTTTAGATTATTGTCTGATTACATTACATTATTGTTACAAAATGGATTTTTACAAAAAAAAAAAACAGTGCGAATTCTCGTATTATTTATTTACATGGTGCATTTAGCCGAGTGGACGATGCTATTGAGAAATTTATGAATAAATCACTCACATCGTTTACTCCTGAAGGTACTTAGCATGAAGATAGGCCATTTATATAGTCTATTATTCTTATATCATTTTTATATGTTTGTATTAGAGAATGTATGACTGTTCATACCCTCATAACATAACCGATAATCTACTGAGGGGGGGGGGGGGGGAAGGATTGTTAGTAATGCGGGCTACCAGACCCATTGCTAGTAGTATGCCGTCTCAGGTCGACCTTCACGTTGTCCCCTATGGAAACCATCGTGCTGAATCCTAGCTGTATCCATCACGATGGGCTGACTGACCTGTCTTTTCTATTTCACCTATCATCTCTTACTGATACCCCGCCAGCGTATACCAAAAGCACAGGCGGGGTTACCATTTCATTATCACCCATTAAAAAAAAATCATCCATTACTAATTTTACTCAACTACCCGACAATAATTGTCACGATTTTCGCCGAGCATGTTATAATAGAATTGAAGGTAACAACTATTTGACGTCATTTGGATTCCATCTATATTTGAATTTGTTAAAATTTAACTTGATATTTATTGTAGCATTGGAATAAAGCATTCGCTATATATTATTAATATAAATAAAATTTATATAATAATATTACATATTTAAAAATAACATAATTCTCATCGTGCCTCCGATCAAACTGTTTATAATTATTCCTCTCCATCCAAAGGTTGCCTGGAAGAGATCGCTCTTAGCGATAAGGTCGCTCATTGTTTTTTCACTGTGATTATTTCTTGTAATTATTTATATTTATAACAAGTTTACTATTGTAATCATTTGAAGGAAACAATAAAGAGTATATATCTATTAATGAATTGTAGAACCGTCTCTTTTGTGGAATTTACATTTAGAAATGACATGAATTTTTCAATATAGAAATAGCACCGTCCACGCGCTCTCTAATGTGTAAATAGCTAATTATTTAAATACTGCTTACAAAAATATAGTAATAAATGCATTTCATTATTATAATTTTATATAAATCGCAACTATGGCAACACTAAACCGTTATGCCTCCAGAGGATTTTGTATATTTGTAGTCATACTTTGACACCGCATCGGCAATTAAAAATTGGATTAATTAATCTTCTAATATTACAGACTTAGATTATATAAATAGAGTGTCTGCATAGAAATGCTTCGAGGAAAACGACTCAATATTTTCATACAATTTTGCATGGTAAACAGATTATGAGTGTTTTCCTTTATAACGTTTATATTTATTTTGTCTTATAATTTCTGCATCTTTTTAATGCGTAAACACTCATTTTATTTATTAAATAATACGTCAAAATACATTTTATGCGTAAGTATATAGAACACTGATAAAAGAAACGAATCGGCTAATTTGACAATTAGCTGACTAAAAGTTGACTCGTTTTTGAGGCTGGATGCTCTATCTATATATAATCTAAGCTTAAAGAATTTAACAAACAAAATTCTGAATTCCATCACGACATCTCGTGTCATTTTTATATTATTATTTTTATAATATCTATATGCGCAATGATGGCGAAACATAGCATTCAATTTTCAGAATAAAATATGTTAGAATAAAATTCAAAAATTTAAAATACAATTTATAACTGAACGTATGCAAACAAATCATTGATCGATTCTTTCTGTTTACAATTTAACAGTCATAAATTTTTAAATTCGAATTTTAAATTTACGAATTTTTTTTTCCTAAAAAAGATTATTAGATAGAAAAAAGGAATTACATATTAATTTATTGTTTTTAAAAACAATTGTATTTTATTTATGCTAAAGACTTTTACAGTTACATTAAAAAAAAAAACGGATTTCCACAATGATCTATATCTGCCAATCATCTGTCAGTGTCAAAGTGAATGTTCATTATTCTGATGTTGGAATGGTATCTCAAATACATTTATTTTATCAATAAGTTAGGTCATTAAATTGTCAAATTTTAGATAAATTAAAAATTACTAATATATAGAGAAATAGGTTAACTAGATATTAAAAATTTTAGAGGCCATTTTCGCTAATTATCCCAACCTGTACATATATATATATATATATATATATATATATATATATATATATATATATATAGAGGCAATTCAAACTGTCTACTTTTATATTTCAACCAGTACATTTCTATTTTTTTTAATAACATAACATTCTGCCTGTACACAATTTCAATATAAATATTAAAAAAAAAGATGTAAAAAAAATAATAGCGGAATAAAATTTATCAACAGTACGCAAAGTTGCGATTCTTAGCAAAACGGATCCCCTTTAGCACGTACCATTTAAAACTACGAAACAAAAACATTTCGACTTCATTATGGAGTTTTAATAAAGGTAATATCAGACATTTTAAATATCGATTATATACAAAAACGTACCACTATATTATTCATATTAATTAGATAGTAACAAATAATGAGAATATACCGACGAATGGTTTGTTTTAAGGCGTTGTCATAATTTTGTAACTTAATAATATTTTACACAACGTGCGAGTAATTGCGAATACTTACAATTTGTGACAAATATAGTTCGGTTTTGAAGCAGTAGTACGTAGGGCTGTCCTGTATAAATGTCAGATTTACGTTCTTTATTTGCATTTAATATGGTTACATTAGATGCCAAAGTTTTTTTTTACAACACAGGGGGCAAACGAGCACGCGGCTCACCTGATGGTAAGTGACCACCGCCGCCCATGATCACCCACAACACCAACGGCATTGCAGGTGTGCTGCCGGCCTTTTAAAAAGGAACATGCTCTTTTCTTGAAGGTTATGTTGTCGTATCGGTTCGGAAATACTGCTGCTGGATGTTGATACCAAAGAGTGGTTGTGCGTGGGAGAAAGTGCCTTGAAAAACGCACGGTGGAAGACCGCCAATGCCACAGTTTGACTTGGCGAAAATGCTAATATAAAAATAAAGTATTAAACCGCCTTTTGTACCAGAATTTTTTTATAACGTGGTCAATAAACTTCCGAGCTATATATTTCAGCAGAATACTGGTATGCAAATTGCCACTATCAAATATTTCTGTCAAGCAACAGTAATACGCGCGTTGTCGTTTCAGTATGAAGGGTAAGTGCAATTAGGTTGCATGTTACAAAACATAAAGCCCCTTATAAACGGATAAATGTTTACTAATGAAATCTTTTGGAGGAAACAATAAAGAGTATCTATATATCGACTGACCGCAGTGATAAATCGTTCTACGTATGGTGGGGTCACAGATATTGTTATATGCGTTGTAACATAGTTTTTTTATACAACCTAGAATGGTAAACAAGCTGACGATCCATCTGATGGATATAGTAAACGTCGCCTATACACATGAGCAGTACCACAGACATAACAGAGTATACTGTTTCGCCCATGATACCCCCCATGCGTTGCCATTCCTATGGACTCAAGTGTTATTCCTGTGTACCCTGTAAATTCACTGCCATATCCCACCATTCAAAAGAAAACACAGCCATGCAAACACAACTGCTTCACGATAGAAACACGAATGGTACAGAGGTGCCCAAGCAAACGACTTTTGTACAGTCTCCCTCTGGTAGTATGGGTGATAATATAGTTGACATAACCATAAATAATACGAGAAAATTTGTTAAATCTATATCTAAGGGTTTAATATTCTTTCTGTGGCTTTTGATGTAGCGTCTACTCCATTGTGTATTAGATCCATAGATTAATATAACGTACTATACATTTTTTAATCTATGGTTAAATCACAACGGCGAACCAGAATGCGTACTTTAGAAATTCTTAGTGTATTACAGCCCTAATACTGTAGTACCAACATAAGAGAGTCATACAATGCTACCAACATTATCAACAATTAATTATTTTCTAGTAAATTATTATAAATATTCGCAATAATCGCCACAAACAAAAGTAATACTTGAGTGTGATGTTCAATTAATAATAATAATAATACAAAAAAGAAATAAATAATATCAACATAACAAGGTTAATATTTCGGAAATATAACTCGTACGGTTTGCAAACATATTTATATTTTTTAAATACATTTTTTATTAGGCATGGGTAATATCAGTAATATATATATATATATATATATATATATATATATATATATAGTATTATTGCGTTCCTTTGGACATGTATAACGGAATATAAGTCCTTACCAGTAGAATATCTATATTCATTATTGATATAACCCATTCCTATTTTTTTTACATACTTTTTAAGGCGCCGTAAGACAAAAGCACTCGACTGATTATAGTCCGTATCGTACTATAGAATACTGCAGAGCTGATGGTTCACTCATCACATATTACATCTATAGCAAGGCGATTTTTGGATCGAATTATGTTATTATATTACAAATGTGAAAGTTTGCAAAGAATTTTTACTGAATCATGGCTGAGCAAATTTTAAGTAAATTTGGTGTATAGATAGACCATCTTACAGTTATGCCTGAAGATGGGCCACGCAAACTGTATCTCGCTATTTCAAAGCACTCATTTATAATGCCATAATATTGTTTTATATAGGAGGATGAATTTTTTTTTACTATGGTAAAACAATTTTTTTATACAACTTAGAATGGCAAACAAGCTGACGGCCCACCTGATAGAAAGTGGTAACCGTCGCCTATAGACATGAGCAGTACCATTGACATAACATAAAATATCTTATGTTCTGGGTTGTGGGCCCAGATGTACATCGGGTCCTTACATATTATGTATCCAAGCTTGAGTATCAGGCAATTGGTGTGATTACGTGACACTTCATTATCATTATCTCAGCCATTATCAGCCATTATATAACACGATAAGTATTACATAATGGCTGATAATGTCTGAGATAAAAAACTACAAAATATTTTGTTATTGCTGTATATTTCAACTTCTATCAAATACCACCAAAATCAAGTGCCACCAGCTCTGCAATTCTAAACCGTACGATAACGCGCGAAGCTTTATAATCAAGCTAAAATATCAACCATAATAGTTATATTTCAGAAATATTTTTCACAATTTCTATTTCTAATTATTAATATACAAATAACAAAAACAAGTTGAAGCGACGCTCAGCTATGTTTGGTCTGATTCGTGGTATTGAAAATACCACTTATTTATACATCAGACTGAATTGTGGTAATTTCATTTTATTTATTTATTTGTGATACATAGGTAACAATGGATGGTAAAACAAGATAAGTCCTCTATGATCAACCCCATATATCGAGGTATACAAATTTGCAATTATATTTTTAAAATATAAAAAAACAACAATGTCACATTTATAGTAAAAAATTATAATATTATGGAAATTTATTTACTATATAATATATATATATATATATATATATATATATATATATTATATATATATATATATATAATAAATATATATATATAATAAAATTTGAAAGTGCACACTGTTTATTTTGTTATGATCACTGAACATTACAATTTTATTTAATTAAAGTAAACCGTGGCAATTTTATTACCACACTTTTAAAAAAAAATTAAAATATATTTTTTTTCCATTAAATTAAATTCTAAATTTTATTAACAACTATTGCCTTACATTGCTTGTTATTTAGTGTGTATTAAAACAATATTATTCGGATCAACTCTTGGATCAACTCACGGAAGTTGATCCAAGAGTTGATCCGAGTCGATGTCACTGTTGATAATGTATTAAATAATACATAAACCTTACCACAATTCAGTCACGCGTCGCTTCATATCCAAGCACTGGTTTTAATGTTGAACAGGCCGTCTGCTCGCTGATCTCTCAGCAGTGCGCCGTTCAACGTCTCAGCGTGTGTCAACCGGTGTTCGTGTTGCATTGTGATTTCTGCTCGAACATCGCGGCCATGTCCCGTATATTGTACGACGGGGAGACCTTTTCTTTCCTGTGGATTAGTTAAGATTATTATTAAGATTGCTTAATTAATTAAAATAGAAGAATGACGATTTGAAAATTTGATTTACAAGCAAATTGTCGAGTCATATGCATAAAGTTGATTCGTTTCTAAAAAGTTGATATACCTAATTTATTTACGTAAAAAAGATTGAATTTAAAATTTAAATAAATAAAAAATTAGTTAATAAAATTTACGATTTAGTATTTTTTTGTTTCGTTTTATTTTATAATGGGTTTGTGCTCAGTACTACTTAAGAGAGATAAGACCTACTAAAGACTGCGCTCCCCCAAATATACCTATGTTTATATTTCTTTACTATATAAAAATACATGTTATTAATATTAATAAAACAAATACAATTCCAAAAAATGCCAATCAACATAAATTTTTCAGGAAAGCAAAGTTTCTATTAGAATTTTGCGCGTAAATTTTGAAGAGAATTATTGAATGCTCACTGGATGATCGTTTATTATGCCAATTTATGGATTGCACAAACATCAAAGTATCAAGAAAACTTGCAAATATGTAAAAAAAAGTCTTTTGTTTTTAAATATATACATTACATTTTTATATTTAGGTGCTTTTATTTCCAATGAAATCAACGTTTGATACTTCACGAAAGTTTCAGGACGAAATTAGACTTTTCTTTATATATATACAATTTTTAGCAATGAAGCATATGTTTTTATTAAATAAAGGGATTAATATAATTATTCTGTTAAAATTAAAGTTGGTACTGCATTTTTATTTGATCATGTATCTTTGGTCCAAGCAATTTTGTTGACCATAGTTATTGCTAGAAATTGGTTAAATTAAAATCAATTAACAGTTGCTGAATCACAATGAATAAAGTTAATAATCGATTATCAAATTTATTATTATTTAATGACAGGAACAATTGCATTAGACCCTCTATTTAATAAAATCTGTTAAATATGAAATCACAAATACGTACCGCTCGAAGTCTCTGCTCCGTTCCTTTTTACTGCTCTCGCCGTCTTTATTATAAAATCCTCTCTCCGGACTAGTGGGGGAGGGGATGGTGTCTAAATTGTGACTGCTCCGCGCTAGAGAAAACCTCATACGCTGCCCCAAGTCTACAGTGTTCCGCCTTTCGAACTTGGGCAGATCGTCCTTTAACCTCTCGCACGTCTCTATCGTTTCCTGGTCCTTCTTTATTTTTATCCTCGTCAACTGCTCCGGATTACTCCTGAATGACTGTGAACTGTACTTCTCCCTTAAGAAATTCCGTCTCTCCTCTTTGTATTTCTCTATACGCTCACGACTTAATTTCTTATCTGTGTCGAATGAAACTAAATTTTTCAAGTCAGTTGGACGCTCGTTTCTTTGAACTAAACATATTTTGTTCTCTGTTGTGGGCGTTATGCTGACCTTCTGCTCGTTTTCCTCCATATTCAAGTTTAAATCTGGTAAAAATTTCGTATGTTTTTTCACATCCTTCACTTCTAAGCTTTTCCGTCGGTCCACATATGTTTTCTCGTTACCAAATTCTTTGACAAATGCATTTTCGTCCAATGACCTTGCATTGCTAGGATTTCTAGTTACCTTATATGTTTTAGGAGATACAGGTGGGGGTAGCTTTACTTCCTTTTTCCTTACTTCAATATTAACTTTTTTATCTTCATCCTTGCGCTCTAAACTAGGATATTTTATTTCAGCTTTGAATTTCTCAAAGGTAAATGGGCCTTTTTGCTCAGTCGGACTTTCAAAGCGTATGGCCAATTCTCTAACATTCAAGTTTGAAACTTTCTCCTTAACAATATTACCATTCTCCCTTTCTATTACTTCTGTCGATTCTTTTTTGTCATTATCAACAGATTCATTAATTTCTAAGTCTTTATCACAGATTTTTAATGTTTCTACATTAATGTTTTCAAATTCTTGTCTCGTTTCAGCAAATGCAAGATTTTCATAGTGCCTCTCCTTCTCTGGAGATTCAAGTATCATGGCGTTTACTTCTTCTATACTCTTTTTAAAAAATTTTACTTGACTATAAACGTCTACATTGTCATCAAGTTCGGTTTGGTCGGTAGGTGTTTCTAAAATTATTAGATCTTCAGTAAAATCTTTAGGCTGACAAGCCTGTTGAGTTGGTAAACTAGCATCTGCTTCAGGTACAGATGCTTCTTCTACAATAGATAAATTTTTCTCCAAATCTATATCTTCATATACAGAATCTCTTTCATTTAAAGGCGTATCATTATCTATAGGCTCGTAGTCGGGCGTTTTATTTTTCGTTGGTGAACGAAATGTAATACTTATTGTTGATTTTAAGGGACTCTTTAACGGACTTCCTGGAGAACTTTTTGAAGTACTAGACGATTGCAGATTTATATAATTTGGTCTTGAGAAGTTGTAATTTTCATATTCGTCCTGTTTAGTTAAACTAATGTTGGAATAACTTGAAGAACTTTCATGCGATGATGTCATCACTTTCAAGTCACAATTTTCGTAGTTAGCATCTTTCTTTTTATCTGAATTAGGATCAGAGTTTGAAGATGTTGAAACAGCGGACAATCTATTCAAGTTTTGATAACTTATATCAGTCGAATGTATAGGTGTATGTTCAAGGCTGTCATGTAGATTGTTTTCTGTGTAATTGTCAATACTTTCCACTACATCTTCAACAGTTTCGTAATCGGCAGCTTTTAATTCACATTTTAGACATTTATCTTCAGTACAATTGTCGCATTCATTATTTTTAATCTTTATTGTATGTATATTAGCTTCGCTGACTTCTGAATCACTTTCCAGTGGATCGTAGACTGGCGTTACTGGGGTCAAGGGGCTAGAATTTAGTGTACTTGTTGTTAGATTGCTTATCGAACTGTTTTCTACTGGCCAATCAATTTTAATTAGTGTCGAATGGCCATCTTTGCCGTGCCAACTAAGCCGAGAATGTACTGTTACGGGTTTTTCGTCAGGGATCGATACAGGGTGGTGCATACCGCTATACCGTGATGTATTTTTGGTTTTTCTCGGTGAGTTTCGTTCTCTGCAAGCGTTGTTAGATGAGGTTATTAGAAAGTGTGATTAATTCAGCAGGTGATGCTTTTAAAGGGCGGTGCTCTGTTGATAGCTTAGATTTAGATATTACAATAGCAAGCTGACCAATTATTAGAGCCAAGATAATTATTTAAAAAAATAGTCACGTCTTATCAGCTTACATTTTGCCTTAGATGTTACATATCGTGAAGTTATTATTGATAATGAAACAATTAACTTACAACATCAAGTTAGTGATTTTAATATATCACATAACCCCATAACTTGTACGTAAAACATAAATTTGTAGGACATTATAAATAACATGCTTAATATTGACATAAGTATATGAAAAATGGGGCGATGTGATACAAAATAGAAAAACAACAACATATCGTGCTTCTACTATTAATAATTATTATGATACTAGCTGCGTCCCTCGGCTTCGACTGAACGAATTTGTTATATCATATAGGATATTTTTCTTTAATGCTCAACTATGCTACATTAGCATATAGTATGCAAGAATTTTATGATTTTTATTGCACTAATGTAAGTCTAACAGTCAAAGTTAGAATATTATAAAGTAAGGGATTCAACATATATAACCACATATCCTATTTGGAAATAACAGGAAACATCTTACATTTCATTGTCTCATTAATAATTAGATATTATTTTAAAATATGGTTATTTTGGATTGTATAATTTTCTATAAACAAATTGCGCAATTTCTTCGTTCTTAATCGATTTTGATAACTTTTTGTAATCGAAAAGAAACTCCTTCGATCACAAGAGATCAAACGTCTCGTATAAGCGTCATGCTGCTCTTGTAACATTGATGCAGGTTTTACGATCTTAAATTATTCATATCTCACCTCAGCTTGACGTTGGCGAGTGACGTTTGGAAGTCCGCAAATGAGGACAGTGGGCCGTCTCTGTCTTTGCATAATCTATAAAAATAATATTATTTTTACTAATATTATTTGATATTATATTTTTTTTTTTTTTATTCTTTATTGCACAATAAAACTTTGTACAAGTAGAGAGCTTAATGCTAGCTAGCTAGAGCTTACAGCTAGAGAATACCATCTGATTCACTAGCAGCCAACCATTATAATATCTCATTTTATCTTTACATAACGCTTAAACGTTCAGGAAAAAGACGGTTTCTTGTAGGGACCAATTTATTATTATTATTTATGACTTATTTTGGTCATAGTTTTTATTCGTATTAATCTGTAAAAACAGTTAATCCCTACAGTAAATTTGACGTGGCGTGACGAATTTGACGAATAACACGACATAGAATGTAAATAATGGATGTCCTGTAAACTGTAAACACATAAAAATTCAAAGTACAGTTGTGCTCTTGTCTTACCGAAGGTGTGATGTATATAAGTGAATTGTGCAGTGCCAGTGTAAATTACAGAAGCGTCTAACAGCAGTGAGTGGAGGCGAGTACCTCTTGGCGATGTCGGGCTGGTGAGGGCTGGGCGCGCGGACGGTGCAGGGCCGCTTCTCGGGCGCGGGCCGCCGGGGCGTGCGGGGCGTGCGGGGCGTGCGGGGCGTGCGGGGCGTGCGGGGGGCACGCGGGGATTCACCGTCGATGTAGCCGAGCTGCGACAGCTGCTCCTCTAGCGGCCAGCGTTGCCTGCGACCGACAATAAATATTGCACTTTACACTAACTTTTATACCCCCTTAACGATACAAATAAGACATACTTATTCAAGTATTAGTACATTACTGCAGCAGCAGTAGTAATGTACTATTATCAGTTACCTCCTTGGTAGTAAGCAATCAATCGACTAAGCAATCGACTTTTGTACAAAGTCTCCCTCTGGTAATGATCTTGTCACTAGCAGTAAACCCCTGAAGACGACGAGGGGTCTTCTAAACACCCGCCAGATGGTGCAGGCGGGCGAGGTCCCTACCTCACCTGTCATCTCCGGGTCGCTGGGTTTTAAACCCACATACAAAAACCAGCAGTGTATGCGTGGCATGTTTTTCCATGACGATGGTGGCAGTATTGGACGTTCCTCACGGCTCGCCGTGTGCACGCGGGCGCAGTGTACTCACGCGTGGACGCCGCAGTCGCGGTCGCGGTCTCGTTGCGCGTGCACGTGCGCGGCGTGGCGCGGCGGCGCGGGGCTGCCGTCGGCGCTGCACCACGTGCCCGACGGCGACGGCGACGGCGACGAGCACGCGCTCGAGCCCTGCACGCAATACCAATAAGCTTTATTCAAATACACTCGTTTACAAGCTTTTTTTAACACGTTCACGCCGGGGCCGACATTAATGTTTTTTGCTGCGAGCCGGCGCTCTAATTGATAGCTACACTTCATCCTCGAATACGTACCACCGGTGGTACGTACCGCCAGAAAAGACAGTCTATTGCGGGCCACCGGTGGTACGCGCCGTCCAATGAGACAGTCTAGCGCGAGACACCGGTGGCCCGCGCTGGCGTGAACGTGTTAAATCATAATTTTTTTATGACTGCTAAGTTCGAAATGTTATCAGCTGGAAAGAAACTCAACAATTAAGTTTTAAGATAAATTTACATTTGTATACCCATATATATGATTACCAGTACTCACTGGCAACCATAATTAGCTTTGGATCCTATTTGTAGTCAGTGTTTTTCTAGAACCACCCTCACTGTTATAATGTTCTTCTTTTTTATTTTTTTATGATGCTGTCATTGTAAAGTGCGATAATTTGTTCAGAGTTTGTTCTTTTCAGTTTTGGTTGTAATGTTTTATGTATTTGTTGTTAAGCGTGTTGAGTCTCCCATCCGGGAAATAGGTATTGGCGACCCGCACGCATGCTAAAGGTAAAGGAGTTAAGGGGGCCGCCTGAAAATCAGCGCTATATAGGTACATCTCGCTGGAGGTGTGCATATATATAGCAACAGCTGAGGCGGCTCCAGCAACCAGCAACATTAATTGTTTTTTTTTTTCTTTTTGTTGTTTTAATTTTTTATTTTATTAATACTGGTAATAAAGATTATCTATCTATCTATCTATCTAACTTTTTTATGGAAAAAGCTATTATAACGTAGGGTACTAACACACAGCTTGCCATCAGTTGTAATACGCGATTCACAATAAAAAACCATTATTAATTTGTGTTATTCCTTATTTGATATATAACAATAAGTATTTACTTGTTTATTTCACATTTAATAAATGTGAAATAAACAAGTAAACATAAACAAGCCAGTCCCCACAAGCAGCATCCGTTCACGAATATGACGGATGAGCCAGCCGTGATTGAGCTCAACTTTATTTTAGGTATAATATTCCGATACCTCACGGATTAATCCGTTCACTCATTCAGGACACATGTTCAGAATTTTTCCCTCTATACTTTTTCAGTTAAGTTGATGAAGAATTTTTTATTTTTTAATAATCGTTATAATTAATGTGGCAACTCTAATATTTATTTTATTGTATTATATTTATTAATATTTATTAAATAATAAAATAAATAAATATTAATTACTTCAAATAAAACACTAAATATGTAATTGAATATTTTTCAAAAGAGATGTAATTTGTGTGCATTAGAAAGTAAAACGAAAATATCTTTCTTAAGGATACAGGCAGATCAAGGAAGGAGTTGGTGTCGTGTCGTATCAAGAGGTGAAGAGACTCGCTGAAAATCGTAGTGAGTGGCAAGAGCTCCACCGACAAGAGTGCAGCTCTTAAATAGGATAGATAGAAGGATACATTACATGGGTGTATAAGCTTCATATAATTTCTATAGGCGACGGTTACCACTTTCCATCAGGTGGGCCGTCAGCTTGTTTGCCATTCTAAGTTGAATAAAAAAAAAATATCGTGAAATCTGGAAGCGTCGTAACTAATATTATTATAATAAAATAATAATTAAGAAGTTCAAAACGTTTTGTCATATACGTGTATGTGTGCACGTGAGGTGTGCGTAGCGTGTGTGTACATAGGATGTGACTGCGTGTGCGTGCATACCGTTATGCCAAATCCTGTAAATGCTTACATAATTCCCTTCGCGGGAATTGCATGCCTTATAAAAGTATCTTTTAATGGAAAAATAATCTCTATTAAAATCTCAGTCGCCTTAATTGCTTAGTTAATGTAAGAATAAATACATACATATCTGTCACGCCTGTCTCCCATTAGGGTAGGCAGAAACAGTGGAACGCCAAATGCTTCGATTCAAACAAACCTCTTCGCTTCTTCCACATTCATCAATCTTTTCATACACGCTCGCCGGTTACGGGTACTTTTAATTTGGCCTTTCTTCAGCACGTCGCCTGTTTGGTCAACATACGTCCGTCTAGGGCGGCCTCTACCGACATCTCCATTCATTCTTGCTCAATAAATCTTTTTCGTAATTCTTTTTTCATCCATCCTCCGCAAATAACCAATTATGACCTTTATTAATTGCAATCGACATCGGAGACATTTAATTGGTGTAAAGTGCTTGAGAATGTTTTGTGTAGGTGTTTTTTTTTTAATCAATCGATGTCGTCCTGCCAACAGTAGGTACCTGAGCGTCGTTGCCGTGCAGGTGGGTGTCGTCCTCCTCACTGAACATGTGGTGGTCGCGCTCCTGCGGCGACAGTCGCAGCCGCATGTCCGCCAGCTCCGCCTGCCACGGCTCGAAGTACGAGTCGCACGACGACGATCTGCCGCACGGACCGTGCAAGACATTATGCAAGGAACTAAGGAATCACTCGTTGAACGAAATCGTTGTTGTTTCGACGAGTGATCCCTTCGGGTTTGGTCGGGTCGGTTCATTCAAGTCACATGACTTGTTCCGAACGATTATATGACAATTCGGGAAGGACTGATCTGTCTAAACCTAGGCATGTGTTTTAGAAGATTGTTATCGAAATTTCTTTAGATTTTTTTTTCTTTATAGGGCCATAGTTAAGTTTGTTTTATAAAATAAAATTAAATCAAGATTAATAAGATTAAAACATACAATTTTTTTTAATTTCTACCTAAACCTACCGATGCGATATCTTTCTTTTAAAAAAAGAATTTTCAATTTGATATCTAGGAACAAAAATTTGTATAGAAAAAAAAAATGAAATTTGTATATTTTTCTAGACAAAATTTTTGTTTTTCCTCTTCATTCCTTCTTTTTTTAGCCTGGATTTTAGTGAATGTTTGAAACAAAAATAAACAAACAGATTTTGTCGTTCTGAGTTCTGCTCTTTGGAATACAGCAGCGATGGATTTTAGAGAATAATTTTTATTTATATAGATGGTGCGGCGGCGGTGAGGTGGTGTACCTGGTGTGGTGCTTGAGCGGCGCGGCGCGGTCCTGCAGCGGCGCCAGCGTGTCGCAGTCCGACGACAGCGACTCGCACGACTTCACCGGCCGCAGCAAGCCGCCGCCACCACCGCCACCAGCACCACCCGCAGCGCCACCCGCCGCCGCCTCCGCTCCACTCTCCTGTAGCATCAAGGAAAGAAACTGATATTTTCAGAATTATGTTGTAACATAACCTTACTATTTTTATTTTTTTTTATCGGTTTAAAAGATTTCAAATCAAAATATAAAAACTGATCTCGCTGTAATTGCAGTGGATTTTTTTTTGTGACCTACAATCTTAATTATTTTAACCTACTTAGGAGCCCAGTTCTAAAACCACAATTACTGTACCCTTATAAAACTATATTATTAATATTAGTTAAGAAACTACAATTGTTTTTTTACGAATAAATCTCATCTAATTTCATTTCAAATCTCTTTTCATAAATTATTATTAATGTCGTCAACAGGTGGCGCTAGCTGTAGAGGACTCACGTGCGACGGGTGGAGTGGGTGCGGCGGGTGGAGTGGATGCGACTGCGCGGCGGGCGGCCGCTGCTGCTTGGTGCGCGAGAACAGCCCGCGCCAGCCCGACGGCGACCGCTTCAACCCGCGCTTCGCACCTGCATCGCACACCACACATTGCATCAATGCTGCTAAGACACGCCTACAGGTGGCAGGTATTGACAATAATGCGGACTACCAGTCCCATTGCTAGCAATATACCCTATCAGGTCGACCTCCCCGTGATCCCACTGGAAACCATCGTGCTGAATTCCAGGCGTATTCATCACGACGGGCTAACTGACCTGCCCTTTCATTCTCACCTATTATGTTGAAGTTTTAATACTGGCTGTTGACACTGAATTTTTTTATGAACAATGTATTATTTTTAAGTTCGTTCTATGTCAAATTTTTATATGACATGTCTTGTATTTTTTTTTCACTAAAACTTATTATTTTATATCTCAAATACATATATGTTTTATTACTGCATTCTGCTATTTACAACATATTATCCCCGACTGGTGCCCCGCCAGTGTATATTGTAACCACAGCCGGGTTTAGCATTCCATTATCATAAAAAACACCCTTACAAGGACAACTGGGGAGAAAGGATTGTTAGTAATGGGGTTATTAACCCCCACTACTAGCAATACACCCTATCAAGTCGATGCCCCCTGGACACCATCGTGATTGATTCTTGATGAATTCATCACGATGGGTTCAACTGACCTGACTTCATTTCCCTGGGGGGAAAGGGATTGTTAGTATTGGAGACTGAGAATCCCATTGCTAGCAATATACCCAACCAGGTCGACCTCCTCGCGGTTCCTCCTGGAAACTATCATGGTTAATTCCTGATGAATTCATCATGATGGGCTAACTGGCCTGTTTTCATTCTCATCGATCACCCTTCACTGGTGCTCCGCCAGCGTATATAAAAGGGTTACCATACCATTTACACCCATTAAAAAAAAAGACTTCATTTCCCTTGTTTCATCCTCCACTGGTGCCCCGCCATTTTATACCGTTAGCATAGGTGGATGCACTATTCCGTCTTCATTCATTATAAAAGACATAGACACAACCAAAGATAATGTTTTAAACTGTATCCACTATTTAGTTTGCATCGATTTTTTTTTTTATACAACTTAGAATGGCAAACAAGCTGACGGCCACCATGGACATAACAGAGTATACTGTTTCGCCCATGATACCCCCCATACGTTGCCATTCCTGAGGACTCAGGTGTTACTCCTCTGTACCCTGTAAATTCACGCTATATCCCACCCTTCAAACCGAAACACAGCCATGCTTTACGGTTGAAACACGAATGAGACACAGGTACCCAAGCAATCGATTTTTGTACAAAGTCTCTCTCTGGTGAAGGAAGAAGTGTTTTCATTTTAACAGTGTAGTGAACATACATGTTAAATTATTTATAATAAATTGAAATACCAATAAACTATACCTGGCAATGGCAGGTCTAAGACGGTGTGATACTGTGGCAGGTTGTTGGGACCGGAACCGACCTGCAATAGTAATTATATATTGTTAAACATTGTAGCGGCCTATTCCGCTACCTCTTTTAAACCGCGCCAACGAACTTTATGTCAGTTTAATATAAAGACTCTTCTTAGTTTGCATCGATAAGAGAAAATGTGACGTAATGTAATGTAAATTGGACTCTCTTTTCCGCGCTTAGCTTCTCATTCGGACCGTTGTGCGTATGAGTCGTGGCTAGTACAGCCAGCCCAGCTCCGCCCAGAAGCACAGAAGCTTCCTGGGATCTTCACAGGCCTCACAGAGCGACCTCACTGATCCGAGGATTCTTAAACGTTGAGGGGCCACAGCTTCACATTCCAGGATTACGTGAACAGCCGTTTCTTTGGTGTCAAAACAGCTTTGACATAGAGGGCTGTCTGTGGCTCCTATTGTGTAGAAATGTTTGTTTAATGGACAATAGCGTGTTATTGTCCCTATCATTGTTTTAAGGTTTTTTTCTATCTAAATATAATAATCGTTTTGATAATCGTTGACGTTAAATGTGACGTTTAGTTTTAGATAGGATTACAGGATCAGGAGAGTAGAATGAGAAGAGGTAAGGTATAAGGAAGCAACTTATAAACTGCCTGTGAGTGTGCGTGTGTTAATATGTGTGTGTGCGTGTGTGTAAGTTTGCGTGTGTGGTAGTGTGCGTGTGTGCTCGTGTGGCAGCGTGCGTGATACCTCGATGTACTTGGGCCGCAGGTGCGCGGAGGGCCGCAGCTGCTGCTGCTGCTGCTGCTGCTGCTGCTGCTGCTGCTGCTGCTGCTGCGCGGCCTGCGCGGCCTGCGCGATGGCGCCCGACGGCGCCGGCAGCTGCGGGCCCGCTGGCGCTGACGGCCGCCCGCGACGCCGCGCCTCCTCCAGGCTGCCGGTCCACACACATTTCAATACATGATAATATGCTGGCGGACCACCACTGACGGGTGATAGGTCAGGATCAAACAGGGCCATCGTGAACAATTCCACGACAATTCACCACGCTGACTTCCAGGGGGTATTACCGCCTAAAAAGATATATTGCTAGCAATGAGACTGTTACATCCCCATTACTAACAATCCACTTTCCCTTCGGGATTGAGGAATCGGCCTTAGTATCTTCAGCGATTGCACGCAGGTACCGTCAGCGTACCTTCGATCGCATGAATATGTACCAATGTGACCAATCAACGCGAACCTTCCTTCAAATGTCATACAAGAACACGTGCACTGCAACGTTACCGATCTTCCATCGATTGAATATTTAGACATCGATTATTAGGTCGAATATCAGACGCGTACATACCACGACGTTATGTCGACATAATGACCGATGAGACGAGCAAATTTACAGTGTGTGCAGGGAGACTAACAAATTTAATCCAATTTAATGTATGGATGAAGTTGACATTATTAATTGTAAAATATAAATATAACTTTTTTTTTTATGCAACTTAGAATGACAAACAAGCTGACGGCCCACCAGATGGAAAGTGGTAATCGTCGCCTATAAACTCATGTCAAACCGTCACTCTCAATCTATTTTGAATGAGAACTGTTCGGAACTGAGTGACATAATCAAATCGAAAAATCCCAAATAGAGGATTGTAACAATATAGTTTTTTTGTGCAACTTAGAAACAAACTGACGGCCCACCTGATGGAAAGTGGTAACCGTCGCCTATAGACATAAGCAGTACCATGGACATAACAGAGTATACTGTTTCGCCCATGATACCCCTCATGCGTTGCCATTCCTGAGGACTCAGGTGTTATTCCTCTATACCCTGTAAATTCACTGCCATATCCCAACCTTCAAACTGAAACACAACCGTGCAAACACAACTGCTTCATGGTAGAAACACGAATGAAACAGAGGTGTCCAAGCAAACGACTTTTGTACAAAATCTCCCTCTAGTAATATAGTGTAGCTCTAGTAACTATTCAACAACATTCTATTCGACCCATGACGTCTCACTGCTGAGCAGTTGTTCAGCGGCACCTCAAACCGATACTACAGTATAATATGAAAAAATCTAACCTCAACAATTTAGTGGGTGGATTGAGCGGCAAACTCTTCGGACGCCTACCAGATTCCTGTCCACGTAACTCCACCAGAGAATCGCAACGGTCCTGCAATTGGCAATATCTAAAAATTAAGTATTCTCACTATAATAAGCTAGGATGAGATAGTCAGAGGCATTTATGTACAATGTATTAACATCATTGTGACATCGTTCTTTTATTCTTGCCTGACAATTATTATTTATTTAAATGTATTTAAAATTATGTGATTTTTTTCTATACAACTTACAATGGCAAACAAGCTGACGGCCCACCTGATGGAAAGTGGTAACCGTCGCCTATAGACACGAGCAGTACCATGGACATAACAGAGTATACTGTTTCGCCCATGATACTCCCCATGCGTTGCCATTCCTGAGGACTCAGGTAGTTGATGATGATTGAGTAATTGTATGAAATTCACTTGTACATATAATTTTGAACTGTCTGTGTAACTACATATGTTTGTATGCCGTACAGGCTAAACATTTTGAACAAGATTGTATTGCATGTATTTATATGCATGTTTTACAAATAAATAACCTTGCATCTTGAATGTAACACTCAAAATGCCTAATTCCCATACCTGTTCAAGTGATTCCGGACCAGAATCCCCCGAGTCAGACGCTTGCTCCTGAGCGAATAAATCCTCCGCGTAGCAAATCAGGAATTCGGTCACCACCGCCTGGGGGCAAACCACCATTATAGAATAGAATAGACCATTTTTATTTAAATATTTTTATTACCATTGAGTTCCGGACTCAAACGTTGTTGCTGAGAAAAATTTACAAGATACTAATTAACTCCTCGAGCGTTTATTGCATCAGACGCTGTACCGAACAAAAATGTGGTACCGGGCGCTAATGCAACCGCGTCTGTTGCATAACTCGAATTTGCAGCGTCGTTTTCATTAAATTTATGTAGGTCATTAATTTATCTACATTTATATTATAAAGAGGAAAGATTTGTATTTTTGTGTGTATGTTTTGTGATGAATAAACTCAAAAACTACTTTGCCAGTTTCAAAAATTCTTTCACCATTAGAAAGCTCCATTCACCCCGAGTAACATAGGCTATATTTATCGCTAGAAAAGATTAGGGATCCTTATTAAAATTTTAGTAACGTAACTCGAGGTGTAAAAAAACGCTATAAAATATCTTTGGTCGCATGCACTGCGGAAACTATTGGTGATAGAACAAAAGCATGCTCTACAATATTGAAGAAAATATCAATTTCTCAAACATGCTTGGAAATGTGAATACTATTTTGACAATCTTCTTAGAGATAAATAAAAATTGCCGTACTGGCCAGATACATGCGGGCAGCGGCCGGCAAAAGTTGTATGAAAATCCATATCTGTCGTGTTTTGCGGCCAGATAAATTACTATGTAAATTCATATCTTTCCTGTAATTTAAAAATGGAATGACCTTTTACTTCGAAACATGGCTACCAAGGAGGTAACTAATAAAAGGTTTTATTTAAATTTCGAACTGGCTTGCAAATAGAAAGCTGTTTATTGAAAAAGAAAAACAAAGGAACATTATGGCGCGTGAAAAATTATTATTGTTCGTTATTCGTCACTGAACTTAAAAAGTAAAATTATGTTTTTGATTTCTGCGCATTGTTTGAGAAAAGTACTATACAAGCCTTGGCCACAACTAGGTATTGATGGACTCTGGCCGCTGCAGTAATGTATTATAACTACAAAAAACTCCGCGATACTATATGTCCAACTGTTATCGTTATGTCACAATAACCATTGTTTAGAATGTCGTAAAAATGTCCAACCGTGCGAAGCCGGGACGGGCTGCTAGTGTAGGTAATAAACCCATTTAGCCATAACCTCTAATCGAGATTTGGCGATTTTAGTTTTATACAACCTGATGGAAAGTGGTAGCCGTCGCCTATAGACATGAGCAGTACCATGGACATAACAGAGTATACTGTTTCGCCCATGATACCGCCCATGCGTTGCCATTCCTGAGGAGTCGGGTGTTATTCCTGTGTACCCAGTAAATTCAGGCCATATCCCACCCTTCAAAAATGTGTAATGCAGTTAGGTTGTGTGTAGCGAGGTAGCGAGGGGTGCACCTGCACGGCGACGCCCTGCAGCGCGTGCTGCGGGCGCGGCGCGCGCAGCAGGTTGGGCGCCCACACGATGGCCATGTTGCGCGCCGTCATGCCCGTCTGCGCGCCCAGCAGCGACACGCGCCGCAGGTGCCGCATCAGGTGCGCCAGCGTGCTGCGCCGCACCACCACCATTAGTACGGTACAAACACATCTTTAGTAATGGCCAAGTTAGGCATTACTATCAACATACCCTAGCAGATCGATCTGATAGCGCAGGCAGGGTTACGATGCCATTTTTACCCATTAAAAAAATAAGACATAATTAGTAATGCCATTTGTCAAACGATTTACACTTCCAATTGAAAAAGATATAAAAAAATTATACATTTAAAGTTATGTGCCATACACAGATCCGGCTCGAAGGACCATAAAGATATCTAATATTAAATAACTAAATAATAATTATTCCAATTAAAATATGAATAGATACACACCAATACATACAATTTCAATGACTGGATAATATTGTATCAAATTCATGAACTATTTCTAAAGTGAAAAAAAAAAAGTGTTGTCCTCCTCTCTCCTACTTGCTGTGCCCAACAGGGTCCATAATTGAAGTTAAAATGTTATTTACTAATTATAATATAAAATGCAATAAGAAATAAATAAATATAGCCTTACATACCGGTAGTGCGGCGGCGGAAGCTTCGCGACTGCGTCGCGTACGGCACGCAGCTTGGCACGCTCGTCGGCCGCCTGCACGGCCGTCACGAAGCTCTCGTACAGCTGGTAGGTGCATAGAGGGTTCGGCAGCTCCCTATATAATATTATATATTCTATAGACGAACACTACATTCTCTAGAGACTAAAAAATCGGGTTTTCCAAAAGAGTTCTCCAGGGTTAACAATGCGCACATGATATCCCTAGTGTTGCAGACGTCTATGGGGTACAAAAAGCGTTTACCATCAGACGGGCTCTATGCTTGTTTGCCAACTTCGTTGTATAAAAAACAATTTGACGTATTTTCGGCTGCATCAATATTTTTCAATGCATGAGGTTAACGCTGATTGTCCACAATGCGGCCTTGTCGAAATTACGTCGAAAAAATATCTGCGTGTCGAGAATCGTACAGATATTGGATGCTAGAATTTCGTGGCGTTACGTCGATGTAATGACCGATTTGCAACGTAGCGTCATCGACAGTAATAAATTGTTTGTAATTTGTCGTTGAATATGGTGCATTGTATAAGACACATGCAATACGACGTTGTCAATCTTTCGTTGACGGAAGTTCAGTGCAAGTATGATTAAAGAGACACCATGCGTCGACGTAACGACAGAATGACAGATTTTCATTCTGTCATTATGTCGATGCAATTTGTGCATTAATGTACCATGATGGACGGATAGACTGGCAACCAAGGTTCATTCTTATATCTTTTTTTAATTTTATATTTTTTTTCTAATTTTTTATATATATATATATGAATTAACTAACCCTCGGCACAAGAACAGTCGACCGGGGTACAAGGCACCAGGGAGAGGCGCACCGACGCACAATGCGAGCAGTATCCTAAAGCACTGCTTTCTGCATTTTCCCCGGAAGTGAGTCGTCTCTGAATCCCAACCGTCTAAGATATTGTTCCAGACTAGTTGGAATAAGACCGTTCACCGATGAAACGATTAGAATGATTTTGGTGGACGCCATCTTCTACATTTCGGTTACCTCGTGAGCCAAGCCGAGATATTTTCTTTATTTATTTAATTCTTTATTGTACACATCAGTTAGTTATTTATAAGAATATGACAGAGGTAATCAAATGTCTGTCCTCTGTCCCATTCGTGTTTCAACCGTGAAGCAGTTGTGTTTGCATGGCTGTGTTTCTGTTTCAAGGGTGGGATATGGCCTGAATTTACTGGGTACAGAGGAATAACACCCGAGTCCTCAGGAATGGCAACGCATGGGGGGTATCATGGGCGAAACAGTATACTCTGTTATGTCCATGGTACTGCTCATGTCTATAGGCGACGGTTACCACTTTCCATCAGGTGTGCCGTCAGCTTGTTTGCCATTCTAAGTTGTATAAAAAAAATGTACAAAGGCGAGCTTAACTGTGACAGAGTTCTGTTCCAGCAACACCTAAAGTGTAAAGGAGCACCAATGTGAGCGGGTAGAGTGTGTAGAGTGTGTAGTGTGTGTAGATAGTTGTGCGGACCGACCGGAAGTACATCTTGAGCAGGCTGGGCACGGCGTGCGGGTCGCGCGCGAGCAGCGGCGCGAGGGCGGCGGGCGGCGCGCGCAGGTCGGGCGCGCGGCCGGCGTCGAAGGCGGCGCGCAGCCGCTGCGTGAGCCCCGCGCCGCCCGACAGCCGGTACACGCCGTCCACCGCGCCGCGCGCCTCGATCGCCGCCGCGCACGCGCTCAGCACCGCCGGCACTGCGCAGTGATCCGTCCGAGCCGGATTGTTACGCATTCCTTACAATAAGTATTTTAACATTCACTTGCCGCGACATATGTATGACATGTGTATTATTTAGAGGAGAAGGGATTGTTAGTAATGGAGATAGTAACAACCATTGCTAGCATTATACCCTGTCAGACCGATCTCATCGTGGTTCCTCCTGGAAACCATCGTGATCGATTTATTATCAATATCGTCACAGTCGGCTAACTGATCTGCTTCATCCTCACCTATTATCCATCATTAATGCCCCGCCGATGTATACCGATAGCGCAAGCGAGGTTACCATTCTATTATTCATCCATTTACAAAAAACATATGTATTGTTTATGTTAATTATCTTGCAACGAGCCACAATTTTTTTTAAATTCATCTATAAAAAAGCGAACAAGTCCCAGCTCACCATCGTGCCCACAATTGAGCAAATGCTCGCCGAGATCACAGCCGAACACTCTCTCGCGCAGTATGCCCTGCTGCTTGAGGCTGCGGCGCGACGGCCGCGACAGGATGAAGCTCCGGAACAGGGAGATCAGCTTGCCGTGCTTGCGGAGCACCGGCTTGATGGGCGCCACGGCCACCGACCTGACGGGCAGAAAGTATAATAAGTAACCAAATAAATAAATAAATCCAAGTGAATTAACCAATGCCAATTTTTTTTTTTTTGAGAATTTAATGACATTATTATTGAGTCTTGAAAAGTGTGAATGAGAAACGAACATTAATAACATTTGAGAATAGAAGAGGCAAAATACTGGGTCATCTTATACGACATGAAGATTTTTTAAAGAGTATAGTAGAAGAAAAAATAGAGGGCAAAAGAGGAAGAGAAAGACCAAGGAATAACTACATGGGGCAGATAAATGAAACACTAGGTATCGTGTCGTATAGGGAGGTCAAGGATAAAGAAGGCCTGGGATAGAACTGGCTGGAGGAAGATGCATGAATTAGTTGCACTGACAAGAGGAAACTCTAATGAAAAGAGAGAATGACTATGTGTTTGAAGCTCCTTAACACAACAGCTCAGCGCATTTTATTAATTTGTATTTAATTTATGACCAAATTGTGTGTTATTTGGAAATCAATATGTTCCGAATTATCGACGAATAGCACACATTTTTTCTTACCTTTTTATAAGCTATCAAACATTTATGTTAAATGGTATATTTTTTTAATTAATTTTAATTTTTTCTAAAATTTATCTCAGCATCAAGAGCGAATACATATAGTAGATTCTGACACATTGAAATAAAACTATGGTTTTTTCACTGTTTCACACTTGGCATATTGGATAAACAACACGTGTGTACAGACCCGACAATGGGCGGCGGCTGCGACATGTGGCGGGGCACCTTGTCCCCGATGACGGCCACGCAGTGGTGCGGGAAGAATCCCACGCGGAACCCTCGCTTGCCGCGCCACCAAACCGACTCCTGAGGACCTGCAGCATATAGGAGCGTTAGTAATGAGAATTAATAACTCCTCCTATTTTGTTAATCTTTTACACGATCCCCTCTGGAAATCATCGTGGTTTAAAGTTTATTTTTTTTTATTTCTGGTGAACTCCTAGCGACGGATCAACTGACCTGCTTTCATCCTCACCTATCATCCCTCGCTAATACCGCTGATTTGAATAAGGGGGTATCAGTTTGACTGCGGCTCCCTCTAGAAACGGACGTGGTTACTTTCTGGTTATTTCTCCATCACGACGAGCCGACTTATATCATTTATTGGTACTCCGCCAGTGTAAAGAAATAAAGTAAGCTTGGTTTACCATTTCATCAGCATCCTTGTACATACTTCCGATATACGGCATCGTTCTATTGTGTAAAGGAGTAGATAGATATGCAAGACATTTCAGTCTCTCTGATTTATTTCTTGTATTTTTACTGTATTACGTACCCGGCATATCAATAATGGAGATCATATCTCCAACTTCGAAACTGATTTCGTCTCGTGCCTGTAAACAATTTATTTATTAATTTATTTATATTTACCAAGTAAAGGAGCTTTCAGTTTCACAATTCACTCTCTTAGCAATCACAATATATACAAACATTTAATTATTGAACATTTTTTAAGTAATTTATTGCCATTCTGAGAAACTCGACACGTTTACAAGTAAATATATCCAAGTCTTGATACTTGCTCATGACACTGTTGAGCAGAGTCAGTGCTAGTGAAAGAGGAGCCTGTTTTGCTAGCTCTATTCTTTTCAACGGAACATGGAAAAGTTCCTTTTAAGTGCTCGAGCATAATTAGAAGACGCTCGATTGGATATTAATGCCAGGATGCTCTGATTATATTTATACCCTTTAAACACTTTTAAAATATACTCAATTAGTGTTAATTATAATTTATTTATAACTAGCGGCTCGTTCCGGCTTCGCACGGGTGGACATTTTTACAACATTTTAAATAGTGATTATTGTGACACAACGATAATAGTTGGACATACAGTATTGCCAAGTTTTTTATAGTTGTTAATATTTTCTTCAATATTGTAGAACATACTTTTGTTCCATTACCAATAGTTTTCGCAGCGCACGCGACCAAAGATATTTAATAGCATTTTTTACACCTTGAGTTACATTACTAAAGTTTTAATAAGGATTCCTAATCTTTTCTAGTAATAAATATAGCCTATGTTACTCGGGGTGGATGTAGCTTAGTAATGATAAATCGGAAAAGTAGTTTTTGAGTTTATTCATTACAAACATACACACAAAAATACAAATCTTTCCTTTTTATAATATTAGTGTAGAAGTGTAGATTGAGGCCGTCGCCTGACGTTTTGGCCTAAGTTATCATATATTGGTCAAGAAATGCATGGGACCGTCTGTCGCTTTTACGTTTCTAACATCTAGCAGCAGTATTCGTGTAATTGTTATTCGATTTGTAGGGTGGAAAATGGTAGTGAAACTGTTATTACTACCAGAGGCCCGGAGCGCGTAGGCCCTTCCGCCCCTCACCCTGTTAATCCGCCACTAGGCGTCATTTAATTTATTGTTATAAATGGGTAATTATTATTATTAGCAAGAATGAATGGAGATGTCGGTAGGGGCCGCCCTAGACGGACGTACGTCGACCAAATAGGCGACGTGCTGAAGAAGGGCCAAATTAAATGTACCCGTAACCGGCGAGCGTGTATGAAAAGATTGATGAATGTGGAAGAAGCGAAAGAGGTTTGTTAGAATCGATGCATTTGGCGTTCCATTGATTCTGCCTACCCTAAAAGAGACAGGCGTGACACATATGTATGTATGTGTAATTATTTTACATAAAAGCTGACGATAGATATGTAACGTTATATAATGTAGAGAATTAACTAAGTCTCCAAAACAACTTTGAAAAACAATGGACAAAATAAATTCTAGTGTCTTTAAAAATAAACTGCTACTCACTTGTGAAACATATTTCCTGACTGAGTATGCGGCCGCCACAGCTGGCGTATTGATCGAGCTGGAGTCTTCGTTCGCTACGAGCAATTTGTGTCCTGAAAAAAAAAATTTAAGATTACATAATTTATTTATATTTATGAACTTTTTTTTATATTATATTTTATTTGACAAAAAACATAACACAGACTAAATTGCTAAATTTAAAAACGAAATTTTACACAGGGTTCTTAGCATCAAGGAACACAATCTTAAGTTTAATGTAACGTTATGAAAGGTATATATATATATATATATATATATATATATATATATATATATATATATATATATATATATATATATATATATATATATATATATATATATATATATATATATATATATATATATATATATATATATGTATATATATATATATATAAAAGTTACAAACACAAGATACAATGGGCCCCACACTAAGTGAACCTGTATCGTGGGCACCCGACAAAGATTAACAAATCACAAATGTGTTATAACAAAAATATGCCATAAACAGCTATAACAGTAATAATTAAACTCATAGTGCAAGAGGTTTATTAAACTCGTTGGGTGGTCTTTTTAACTCCCCTGAAGATTCTAACAAACGCATACCCTTGTTATCCATCTGCAGCCAGTTGAGCACCGGGCCGCAGTTGATGGAGTCGTCTGCTATGATGGACAGGTGGTGCACGTAGTCCGATATCAGCCGGTGGTACTCCAGCTCGTCCCGCAGCAGCGACGGCGTGATCTTCTCCGCCAGGTTCGGCAGGCCGGACACCTTGCGGTCGTATATGCACCTAGAATGACGGATAACAATATTCATAGCAATAAAGCTCAATAACGAAATACGAAATAAACAAAAAACTATATTAAAAAAAATCAGAGAAAAAGAAGTGTGTAAAAAATGTATACCACCTTTTATTTATTATTTTTTTATCTAAAATAGAAAAAAAAACATGCATTTAAAATATCTTCCAATGTATATCATAAATTGTACTATAACATAATAATGTTACAGACCAGTGTTTTTCAAACTTTTTCATGACACGTCCCTCTTAGTATGAAAAAATATTTTGTGACCCAGACTTATTTTTTGTTAAATTGTATTAACATACAAATGTTTAAATTATCATTACCTTTCTCACTTCTATCTTTATAACTTCCTTTTTTTTCTGAGATAGTTTTGACAACCCCCCCCCATCCACTAATTAACTAAGCTCGCCTGTTGTACATCTTTATTTTAAATATATATTTAAAATAAAGATGTACAACAGGCGAGCTTAACTCTGTAAGAGTTCTCTTCCAGCAAACCCTGAGTGGTTTTATATAGTGATTTAGGCGGACGAGACCGCTGGTAAATAACAGACGAGCTAGAGCAATGAGGTTCACCTGTGCAGCATGTCGTCGAGGTGCAGAAAGTTGTCCTTGTTCCTGGTGAGGGTCCAGTCGCGCACGTCGGACGCCTCGGTCCAGCTGCCCGCCAGCCGCGCCTCGGGCCACTCCTCGCACGACGAGTTCACGTGCGACCGCACCTTCAGGCACACCCAGCCTGCCGCACACACGCACACATACTTTCATTCAGGGCGGTCAGGTGCGACTTTTTTATTTTTACCCCAGTGATATTTAAGACCGTGTAATTTTACCAAAGATATGATATCCTTCATTTTTACTTAATCAGAAATACATGTTGGTTTTAACTACGTTAATTTGGGGGGAAAGGGATTGTTAGTAATGGAGACTGAGAATCCCATTGCTAGCAATATACCCAACCAGGTCGACCTCCTCGCGGTTCTCCCTGGAAACTAACATAGTTAATTCCTGATAAATTCATCATGATGAGCTAACTGGCCCGTTTTCATTCTCATCTATCACCCTTCACTGGTGCTCCGGCGGCGTATCCCGTTAGCGCAGGCGGGGTTACCATTCCATTTTCACCCATTAAAAAAAACTACGATCATTAATGTAACCAGTATGCGAACTATGAAAAACCTTAATTAATATATTGTGTTGAATTAGGTATATACTGATATACCGTTTTCAATACCATGCTATTTATATTCTGCGTATATTGTCAAAAATATAGGACTACAAAGAGATTAATAATTACTTTTTTGAGCGAAAACCTTTAACAGACTGTTGCCGGTTACTGAACAAAAAACACAACATGGCAACAAGTCATTGTTGCCACATATCAAAAATACTTTATGGATGCGTTCAATTCGTTCAATTTATGTGTTTAATTTTTAAGATATCAGTAGTGTCCACAGGTAAAACCGTGCATAGGTACAACACTTTCCCCTACCAAAAGTGACAAAAATTATCAAAACTTTTCAACACTCATTTAACCGTTTTAGTACCATTGACTTTTACTCATATCTATTTAAAAATACCAAATAAATCTTTGTCGTATTGATGTCATGTCCCTTGTCTTTAAAAAAACTGTGTCTCCTCCAAAAATTATCCAATTTTAATAATATTTCTACAGCTAGCTAAACAGCAATTGACTTCACGTGGCACTTTTAATTACCACTGGCACTCAAACGGTTAAATATAACTATATAGCTGCTTTGACTTCGCTTTTGCATACACAGATAAAAAAACGAAATAGCGAAAGTCGCTGTCTCGTTCTATTTTTATCTTTATTGACCCCAGTACAAAAAAAAAAGTTTGGTATAAAAGGCGGAATTAACACTATATTTTATAGCATTTCATTAAAACATTTATTTATTGATTGGAACACCAGACAGCATGTGGTATGTTATGGAGGTGGAACAGAGTTGATAAGAGTAACGTTACCTTCGGTTGGGTCTGCGGCCTGGTCCTCGCAGGGCGCGGCCTGCACGCTGAGCCCGCCCAGCGACACGCGCTCGTAGTGGAAGTGAGCGCACTCCTCCAGCTTCGGGAAGCGGCATGCTGGCGCCGGCGCCGGCTGCCGCGCCGAACACAAATGAAACGATAATAAAAAAAAAAATTAACAAGCACATATTAATGATAATTATGAAAATGAATTATTACAATTATTCGACAAAAAAAAAAAGATTTAAATTTGTGGCAAAACCATGTGATTTCGATTTAAAAATTACTGAACGGATTTTGATAAAATTTCCAATGGGACCAATTTGTAAGTATATCCTTTGAAAAGATTTAAAAAAAAGAATGTTATAAATCGGTGTATAACTTGGAGCTATGTAATGTAATGTAAATTGGACTCTATTTTCCGCGCTTAGCCTCTCATTTGGGCCGTAGTGCGTATGAGTCGTGGCTAGTACAGCCAGCCCTAAGGAGCTATGAAGTGACACAAAAAAAAAATTGAAGTCAATTGAATTATATCAAACGGCGCCCTCTAAATGTATACAAAATAGTGACGAACGCTTTTATAATAATCTACATGTAAGTTATTTATTTAATAGACAATAAAGAAAGAACAAGTAGTACATAATGGTCGAGGAATGGGCAGCAGCGTCCCTCTTAAAACATTACTAAAACTTAACTCCGGCTGCTAATCCACCTGCCAAACGTAGTGATTTTTGTTTTTTTTTTGTTGCTTTTTTGTTTTTCATTCTTTTATCTCTTTTACTGTGTATTATGTGTATGTTTGTATTTGTAATTTGTGTGCCGTAAGTAATGTAAATAAATTATTTATCTATCTATTTACTGGCAAAACACCCCAATAGAGTGTGAATAAATAACAATTACAGATAAGAATATTTTCCTGTTTCGTACTTTTTAGTGCGTAAGTCTTCAGTGGTTTTAGTTGTTGAAGTTATTTTTCATAATCAGTGAACTAACCGTTTCGGCAAGATCGAAGGTGGCCGAGGAGGGCGGCGCCGACTGGCTCATGGCGGAGGTCTGGGACACGGGCGTGACGGCCAGCGCCGTCAGCGATATGGAGCCTGCAATTGTTACAAGGCTAGATTAGACATTGAATTAATTAGTAAAATAATCTTCAACATATTCTAGCTTATATAACAATTGTGCTGGTAGTTTTTTCTTAATTTATATATAAATTGCTGGATCTATTTAGTAATCAATTATATGTAATTATTCCTTTCATTTACAAATAGCTCTTATTATATAAAAACAATACAACAATAAATTAAAGTTAATATACAATTCGTTAAATACTAATACTAATTATAAGTAATCCCCCAACGCACCACACCGAGACAGCGTACCCAAGATACTGGCAGCATTACCTCTTTGGATTGCCAAACTTATCTTTTGGGCAAAGTAGCTACCCGCTCTTGTTTCTATTCTAGCTTATTATAAAAACCAGCTGAACGGTTTATATTTACTATATACTTTATTAATTATTAACATATTTCATAATAATATTGTAGAATGCAATAAATAAATTGAATTGAATTGAACGGACATTGTCCAAATTGAATTTCTATTTTTCTTGAATACCTTAACTATTATTATGGTATACTAACTTTAAATAAATTAAGATAGTGTTCCACAAAAAAAAAAAATGGCCTAAATCATCACAAAACAAGCTATTTTTATTTAAAAACTAAGCTACTGTATCAATTCTGATGGGCATTTTTTCCATGGTGTAGGAGTACAAACCTCCTTCTGAGGTTGTCAAAAGAATTATATAAAAAAAACTATTGTAACTTTTATGACAAAGATATTAAATTAAAAACTTTAGCTATGAATCAATCTATGTTTTAAAATATGACAATACAACACATGGGACTAATCAGATAGCATATCCTTTCAGATAAATAAATACTTTTCAAATTCAATTTATAAATGACGGAGTTATAAGATAAAAAAAGATAAAAGTACCGAATTAAAATTGAATTGAATCTACTTTATTAAAGTCGGTTGAAAAACTCAAATCAATCTAAATATTCTTAAAAAATTCGCCTATCACATTAAACAGCATTTGATTTTTATTTATATTGTAAAAATAATTACTACAATTCCTACCTGTTCTGCACAGGTAGAAATTGCATTATTGAGATATTTTTTTACATCATAAAAGTAACAAACAAACATATATGTAGTGACTAAGGATATCTATAGCATTTAGTTACTAACCTTGCTTGCATAAAGATTCTATTTATCTTGCAGTTATAAGACAGAAGAAAACTAATGAACAGCAATCGACAATAACATTTAATCAGTATTTAATATTTTACAATAAATAGGATTTGCAAAGACAGAAAGATAGATGTCAGATAAACTAAAACTCAAATGTCACAAAGTTTCTAAATTATGCAAACGAAAAAGAGTCTTAATATTATATAGACGTAAAAATTGTTGGCGCGGTTAAAAGGAGGTAGCGCAATGAATCGCTACATACACATCAGATAAGCATCAATATATCACAATCTTAAAAAAAAGAGTATATTCCTTTTTAAAAGGCCAGCAACACACCTACGATGCCTCTAGTGTTGTGGGTGATCATGGGCGACGGTGGTCATTTACCATCAGGTGAGCCGCATGATCGTTTGCCCCCTGTTATAAAAAAAAATACAGCCCGTCTGATGGTAAACGGCCACTGTAGCCTATGAAAGCCTGCAACACTAGGGGTGTCACGTGCGCGTTGCCGACACTGAAGAAACCCTAATATATACCTCATAGTTTAATACTAATAAAAAATAATATTTCTTGCATTTCCTTCGATACATATCATTGCTTACCTGTCGTTTCTCGTTTACAATCTTGTTCATTGTTGCTTGACCTGGTCGAGCTGCGGGAGTCTGAACTGAATCTCACCGATCTGAAAACATATACAGTTGACATTTCAAATCTACTGCAATTTAAATGTCTTTTTTATATAGTAGCTCAACATGTGACGGTACATTAAATACAGCTAAAATTTTCCATAATTTGATACAAAACTCAGGAGCAGATTCAATTGATGAACCTAATTCGCTGATTGCTCCAACTGTGTCAGCTTACTACCTATTTTTTTCATGCGTCTCTCAAAATTATTTAGAGGAAATGCGTAGAAAGATTTCAATCTATATAAAGGCCTTTTTATCATCTTTATTATCATATCAGCCATTAACTGTCCACTGCTGAACATAGGTCTCCACTATAAAAGGGGGTCTTGCCAGTAGTTGCCACGCTTGGCAGGCGGGATGGCAACAGCAATTAACCTTTGATGATGTCTTTAGGAGGAATGCTGCTGCTCATCCCTCGATCATTAAGTTCCCTTAATCGCATCTTACGATATCCAAAGGAAAGGAAACAGTGATCCATTCTATGCCGGAACTCCATGTAGTTCCGGCATAGAATGGATCACCGTTTCCCTCATTTTATACGACTTGGTAATAATCATCTATAGATTTAAACAGTACCACAGGGATAACTTTACTGTCATATCCCACCCTTCAAACTGAAACAGTCTTACATACACAGTTGCTTAGCAGCAAAAATAAGATTTAGGCAATGGTACCCAAGCAAACGACTTTTGTACAAAGTCTCTCTCTGGTTTACAAATGTACTTCTTGAAACTAGTCGACGTAAAAGTTGTTTGCTTGGGCACCTTTGTCTCATTCGTGTTTCTACCGTGAAGTAGTTGTGTTTGCATGGCTGTATTTCGGTTTGAAGGGTGGGATATGGCGTGAATTTACAGGGTACAGAGGAATAACACCCGTGTCCTCGGGAATGGCAACGCATGGGAGGTATCATGGGCGAGACAATATACTCTGTTATGTCCATGGTACTACTCATGTCTATAGGCGACGGTTACCACTTTCCATCAGGTGGGTCGTCAGCTTGTTTGCCATTCTAATTGTATAAAAAAAGTTACCTGTGCAGTCCAGCGGTGGCACAGTGCGTCATATTCTCCTTGTCAGGCTCCGTGAAGGCGCGGGCCGCCAGTGACTGGCATGACATCACCGACCCGTGTGGGGAACCCTGCACGACAATACATGAACGTGTCACTATCGACTATAGAGCCAAATAATATTATAGATAGATGGACACATACCTATAATTTACTGTTATTTTTTTATGATACTTAGCACTTCGCTGACCGGGAATTCCCCTCATGATTGAAATCTTTGGAATTAAACTACAATGTGATAAAAACCTAAATACAAAGCAAAGTAATTGTTTGGTCATGAACGCTTTGTAATACAAACGGTGTTGCCCGTCGTGGTAGGAGGACGTACCTACACGCTGGTACAATCACGAGTTTACTCGCCACCGGTCAGCAAAATGTTAGATTCGTAAACAAGTTGACGGTCCACCTGATGGAAAGTGGTAACTGTCGCCTATAGACATGAACAGCGTTACGGATATCATGGATTACGCTAAGATGTCTATGGTACACCTCATGCCTATTCCTAAGGACTATATTTTTTTTTATAATGTATGATAATGCAATGGTAACTACGCCTGCGCTAATGGTATGCGCTGGAGGGGCACCAGTGAGGAATAATAAGTGAGATGAAAGAGGTCAGTTAGCCCCTCGTGATGACACCGAATTCAGCACGATGATTTCTATGGGGGACTACGTGGAGGTCGATTTGTCAGGGTTTATTGCTAGCAATGGGAATGGTAGTCCGCATTACTAACAATCCCTTCCCCCCTGAACTATAACGTTATGCTCCGCTGTAATTTTACTGCCATATCGCATGCTTTAACACGAAAAATATCCATATAAGCACCGTTGCTTCACAAATACGTGTAACTAACAGATATTGAAAAATACATTAAAATATCTGAAACAAAAACCCAAGAACGAATAACAAATATAAAATAATACAGAGTAAACAATAGGCAATGTTTATCGCTGAAAGCGATCTCCTTCAGACAACCTCTGTTAGAACAAAGGTTGTTATAACAAAATGTGTTGGAATGGAATTTCGTAGTGTGATCGGGCATTTAACGTAATATGCATAACGTAATTATTTATTTATAACGCAATATGCATGTCTGAAGCACGTCAAGAGTGAACGCTTTCAATTAATTTTTTTTTTTTTTATAAAAATCCAAAAGAAGTAATTAACACCATTTCGTGTTGTTCTGGCACACGTACAAAAGGAAAAAAAAATATGTTTCTTTTATGTATTGTTTTCTTTTTATATGCATTCTTTTAGTCGCTTTTGTGTGTTGTCTATCTGTCTGTTGTGATTTGTGTGCTGTAAATCATCATCATATCAGCTTTTAACTGTCCACTGCTGAACATAAGCCTCCCCCTTGGGAGGTTTTGCCAGTAGTTGCCACGCTTGGCAGGCGGATTGTAAGTAATGCAAATAAACTATAATATATATCTCTCTCAATTAGTCTTAATTTTTCTGAGACTATATTAAGCGTTACGACGCCAATTGTGAATTAATTTTAAAAATTATTATTAAAATAGACGAGTTTACGATATAAAGCTGTCATTTTTCTTTGTAAATCAAATAACTGCTAATTGAGAAACAAAATATTTACGAATTTACGAAAGAAGTCCTTGTAGGGTATCCACGAAACATCTCGTAGTTTACAGTTACTTTTCAAATGACTTAAAAAAAAAAGGGGGACGTCTCTTAGTTTCTCAATTCGGTCTTAATTTTTTCTTATGTTTGTTACCTCATAACTCTGTCTGTTGTAAATAAATTTGTAAAATTATTTCTTTGTCTGAAAGGATGTACTTTCTAATAGGTCTCAGAAATATCAGCAAAATCGGATCAGTGCAAATAGTTTGGTTTTTATATCAACATAACCGATTGTGCCACGACTGAATCGATGTGTATTTTGTGACACAATAGACACTTGTGTAGTGTAAGTTACTGGATATCTTGGACGATGGAAACCGATTTTAATGTATTAATATCGCCATGTGGTCCCGCCATAGAATAGGCTTCCTCTTCCTTTCCCGTGGGTATTGTAAGAGGCGACTTAAGTAATTTAAAAATCGAAGGATGGGTAGCAACGTCTCTCTATAAACATCACAGAGAGAGAGAGATTGAGGGAGAGGGGGGAGAGAGAGGGAGAGGATGAGAGAGGGGGGGAGAGGGAGAGAGAGACACACACACACACACTCGCGTACTCACACGCGCACACGCACACACCCACACAAACCATGCACCTACGTGTACCCAAACTCACATAAAACATTATATAATTAGATTAACCCTGTTCGCCGCACCATAACTGTAAAATGACTTGCTTTGACTTCCACGAGACAGGCTTTGCCTAGTGTGGGGTCATAGCTATATTGTACCATAGGATAATTTTGTTAAAGGAAATAAAGATATTCTTTTACTTATCACTAATTTATTAAAAATTGCAGATTATTTATCAAATTAAATCAGAAAAATCTATGTTCGAAGACTACAGAATCTAAATACTCAAGTTTATCACGACATAGATAAAAGTCAAGTGGCGTGAAGTGTTTACGACTGTTTAACGACTTTTTACATTATCTCGAGTGGCACTTAACTGACTGTGGCGAAAAGTGAGCATTTAATGTTAAGCTACGACATAGTCGCGGATGTTTCGATTTCACATGTCAAAAACTAATATTAATGATAAGGTCAGGAATTATCTTACTTCTTTACAGACTTCAAAAACAACATTTCTAAGCATTGATATATATATAAAAAAATTACATTACCATATCGTCATAGTCGTAGAATACTGACGGATGTATATATGTAATCTTTGTCAGATCCGTCAGTATTCTACCACTATGACGATATGAAAGTTGGGTTTGTTATGGTATACGATATACTAGCTTTTACCTGCGACTTGATCCGCGTCACCGGGATAAAAAGTAGCCTATATCTTTCTCTATTCCATATAGTACGTGTATACTAAACTTAGTGATTGGTTAAACCGTTAAAGCTCTATAATGTAACAAACAAACAAATTCACTTTCACATTTATAATAATAGCATGGATTATATATTTATTTATTTAAACTTTAATGCACAGTAAAATTCTATATACATTTAACGGACTTAACACCGGACGGTGTTCTCTATCAGTCAGCCATTGGGCGAACCGAGAAATACGTAGCCGGTGCATTTTTGAATAGAGGAAAAATAAAGCAATACTTGATAAATTCATATAAAGAGACACATAATACATTAATATAAATAAATATATACATATAATAAATACATACATACATAAAATATTACTATATAAAACAATTAAATAAAACAACTGCAATAGAAGAGCAAATAGTAATGTATGACTCAAACAGAAGAGCAGAAGCTTAAAGGAAAGGAAAGTGACTTTTATAAGAAACAGGTGCGTAATTTGTGTTTAAAAGCTGGCTTATATATATATATATATATATATATATATATATATATATATATATATATATATATATATATATATATATATATATATATATATATATATATATATATATATATATATATTTATATTTATATCATAAATAAAGCTAACACAAGTAACTGAGGTTGTTCTGGCAACGATCACCGCCGCCAGTAATATTTTTATGCGGCATAAAACACAAGGAAGTAGGTTAACTGCTGTCTCTATGCGAGACAGAATTTATAATTTTACTGCTTTTGTACAAATGCTGAGGAGAAATATCGCTTCCTACTGGTGGCACACGAGGAACACACAATGTAATAACATTTTTATAAGATCCGGTTGTTGAACCGTAACTACTGTCTCTTAGGTAGGTAAACACAACATCTCTTGCTCAAAAACAATTTTACTTATTTTATCTATCAACTCGTAAGCGTTATTTATGGCTTACACGTATAAGGGACTTGTGTCCCCAAAAAAACATTGCTTTAATACCTATCCTTTATTAGCCCAGACATTTAAGACATCATATTTATATTATTTAGTGTTTCAACCGACTTCAAAAAGCGGGAAGTTTTTTTTTATTTTATTTATTTTCTCTACAAATTTTACAGAAAATGAATGAATGAATGAGTATACTTTATTTGCGTTATACAATATAGGAAATAAGCAAGACAATTTACCAACACAACGATACAATTGTATAAGTACAGTAAGGCGGTCTTATTGCTAAGAGCAATCTTTTCAAGACAACCTTAACACGTTGAGCGCCATGTCAGCCATCGGTGGCTGACACTAGACTTTCCGTTTAGGCCGCGTCAGCCATCGGTGTCTGACAGCGTGTAACATGAGAACTATAAAATTTTACACTATTTTACGGAATTACAGAAAACAAAACAGACTTGGTGCGTTACGTGTTCAATGAATGCTTATAGGAATCAGGTTCCAAACGTAAACTACCTTCTACTACGATAGGAAACACCAGCTCCTGCAGTACCAGCGCTTCGAAGCGGCGCGCATGGCCTGAACGGGATTGCTGTAGAAATACGCGTGGCGCTCAACGTGTTAAGGTAATGGACTAATTGTTATACAGTTACATGAAAAAATACAACTATATATGTATTTATAATATTATATGTACAAAGGTCTGTAAAACTTGTGGGAGACTGGACCCTAAACTAGATCAGAGATCTGTATCTCAGGAATCCAGGTCCCCAACTCGGACACCATGTACAGCTTGCATTAAGGCTAAAATTAAAATTTGCGAAAACGAATATACAAAACAAAATAAAATGTGTGTTTTTTTCAATGTCAATTCGGTTGTTTTTTTATGTTTGTTACCTCATAACTCTTTCTTTAAATTCTTTTTTTTTTTACGAAAGGATATCTTTAGAAATTCGTCCCATAACATTTTATTAAAATCACTTTAATAGATTAGTTTTTACGCTAAAATAACTGTTTTTTTTTTTTTATGGAACACAGTCTCAATTATTGTATTTCGTTACATCTCAGCATCTACAATTTATGCATACTGCGTATGTGAAACCGGTCTGTTATCAAAATCACTTTATAATGCTGTTGGTCATTAGCTCGACAATAAGGTTAAGATCATTTCCTGTTAAACAATCGGTTTGTAG